CAATAACAACTTTTTACTTTGCTTACCTGTCAGCAAGCGATATTTTTATGCTGTTGTATATGTTTTGCCTTTAATTGAGAGAGAAGTACAATCATTTTACCTAAAGAACATTTTTGCAAAATCATACATGCATTTTCAGAATGTTTTTGATTAGTCCTTGTTTGTTTTTTTAATGAAAAATCACACATAGCTTTTATAGTACACAATGCATGGAGGCTCAGACTTTCTTCTGGAAATAGAATAATGTTTAATTTTTGCTGTAGTACTTTACAAACTAAATAACAGATATTGTTATAAATACAAATTAAAAGATTGTACAGAAAACAAGCAATTGTGTTTTTGTTTCACAACATACTGATATATTAAATAATGCTTTGTTGAGACAGTGTGGGTTGGTTTAATCATTTATTTGGGAAATTGTAAATCAATTATATGTACTGTAGACAGTTTGATTTATATATGCCAATGTCATTCTTATACTGGTTAAGGTAATGATAAGGTTTTATTCTTGGGCCATTATTATTTTCCATCTACATGCTGCCACTAGGGCGTATCATACAAAAACACAATATTTGATATCACTGCTATGCTGATGATGCACAAATGTATGTACTGCAGTGATAACATAAATAAAGTGCTGGATGGCACACAACTTTCTCCAGTTAAATGACAAAAGCCAGAAGTACTCATTTTTGGCCATCCTAAACCAACCCCGTCTCCGCAAATACATCTCGGCTCCCTCTCCTCAAAGATAAAACCTGCGATCACAAAAGTTGTTCAATCATGTTTTTATTAGTTACGTATCATTAAAAAAATCCAGTCCTTCATATCCCGGTCTGATTTGGAGACAGTCATCCACGCTAGTATCTGTTCTCGTCTCGATTACTGTTAGGCCAAAAATCTATATCTTGCCTTAAACTTGTGTGAAATGCCGCAGCAAGACTTTAACAAATACCAAAAGGCTAGACCAAATCACCCTGTTTTAATCTCTCTTCACTGGCTACCTGCCTGTTTTAGAATGTATTGAGTATCTGAGGCTGGCAGAATCAGTGATATTGTTTAAATCACTTCTTAAAACTCACCTTTTTATTTAAGCTTTTAACTAATGATGACACCACTCTGTTTTACTCGACATCCATGTTCGAATTGTTTTTCCAAAGATGTAGGATATCCTTCATCAAAGGAAGTTATACTATTATTTGAAGATGATACATATTGATAAACTATAAACTCAAAGCAACCCTTACTGATAATTAAAAGAATAACAAGAGAAGAAAAAACAGCATGCAATACAACAGTAAGAGCATTAAAGTAATGATTGTTTTACATAATTATTATTTTAGTGAGAAAATAACTCTCCTCCGTAACTTCGTATGGAAGTCTTCACTCGATGCCTTTAGCCTTCAGCTCCTCTCTGACTCTGCCCAGGTAGTGAGGGTCAGGATACCCAAAACTGAGGAAACAACAAAAGTACGATTAATATATTACATTTATGACTTTTCAGTAGACTTAACATGAAAAACAGTATATATTATAAAGAACTAAGAGATTTGGTTGCTGTACCTTTGTGGTCCTCCTGAAGTGCTGGTCTTGTGGTGAATGTCGTTCCAGGTCACCATGTCATCCATCCCAGATGTCCCAACTGTGAAAATGAGCTTCTGCTTAAACGCTTTCTGCAACAGGCGCAGCACTTCTCTGCCCTCTTTGTTGTCTGGCAAGTAGGCTGTTTTGTGACAAGAATAAAAGTACTTTCCAGGATTCGGATGCTTTGCCTGCAAAACGAGTGAAATGCAACAAACCACGTCAGAAATAAACGCAACAGTTACATCATTGACACAATGTCTCCAAATATATAAATTAATACATTTACCGTCTGTCTTCCACTTGGAATATTATAGTTGATGATGATAGTGCCGCAGCCTCGGAATCCATCGAGAGGGGAGTGTTTCTTCTCCGTTGTCATTTTTCCATCGGGCTGGTCTCCCTCCATCATCCCAAATACATCGTTGCAAAGAGGACAGGTGGGTCCCATGGACGCTTTTGACTGTTCCAGGCAAGCCTCACAAAACTCATGCTTACATTTAAGCTGTTTTTTATTTTTAAATGTATCCAAGCATATAGAACAGTTGTCCTCTTGATTATCTCCTGCAGTTGCTCCCCCTCCAGTGGGTGCTTCAGTGTTGTTTCCAGATGTTCCATTCCACACAGTTCCACCAGAGGCTCTGGTGGAACCTCTGAACCCAGTGGCACCAGGGAGATGGGTGAGGTTCAGTGGTGATGTGGCAATCTGCTGATAGAGATGAAGAAGAGCTCTGAGAGCGTGGCTCTCCATTGCCGCATTTCCCCCAGATCTTTTGTAGCAAACTTTGACTTCAACTTTGCCCTGACTGATGCCGGATTCTTTAAAATCAACACCAAACTTAGTTTTGATCTTAGCTACTTGCTTTACGTAGGAGGTAGTCATCAGCTTCCAGTAGTTCTCCTCCATGGTTAGCCCAGCATTGACCAGAGGGTCTTTGATGCTCATGCCAATGTTCGGTGATGTGTCATGAGACACCTCTCCAGAGTCTACAACAGAAGTGCTGATATTTAACATTTTCTGTGTTGACTTTCTGAAGGTATCTTGACTTTGTCTTGGCCCCCATGAGATCATTTCTTCAGGCGTTACAGTGAGCAAAAGCTTGCTCCCAATCCTCTGAGTGATCTTCAAAACTTCCTTCAACTCTTCTGGATCTACATGCTTGAGAGGAATATGCGAGGCTTCTAAATCGCTTGAGTACTTCTGGACGAGGCTTATAAACTCAGAGAGAGCTTTTTGTGGGCTTCCATCTTTCTTCGCTTCAAATGTAATTTGTACATCTGCTGTGATTTTAACACCATTCTCTTCCTCTATACGTTTCATTTCCTTCTTGTAGATGTGGCTCACATACCAGAAAGGGCCCACTGAGAGAGTGCATGCCACTTCTTTTTTCTTCTCTTCTTCTGTCGAAACTGAACTGCTCTTCTCCTCCCGTGGCACATCCTGAATAACAAACAATGTTTTCGTGTCAACATTTTTATTTTCAATGCATTTCATTCAGACTGATTAACTACACAGTACATACTACATCTTGTGAAGGAGGAAGGTTCGTTGATGGTTTTTGTGTCTCAAGCTGTAGCGGTGTCAGAGTAACAGACAGTATTGTGACTGTGTTCCCCTTTTTCCCCTGCAGTGATTGTCCACTAAGTTTCTGAAGCTCACTCGCACGAATGGGTTTGGCTTTGAAATGAAGAGAAGACGAAAACATTGCATTAGAAAATATACAAAATGTGAGTAATATAGGTCTGATGTAACAGTAAAAATATATACTATTACTACCTGGAGCCGGTGTAAGACGTATCTCTACTTTACCATCTTCTGAGACTTTTAAAACTTTGCAATCTGCATAAAGTTTATTGTTGTTGGACCAAGTCTGAAGAACTTTCTGCAGGTTGTGATGACATTTCTGCAGTGGAACATCTTCTGACCACTTAAAAGAGAGAATGGCTTGAACGCCATCTTTGTCGTGTGATGAAGCCATGAGAGCCTAAGAAACATGTTAAAGTTCATGTCACCATATTATAAAGCAAGGTCACACAAAATCCTTCATGCTATTGAGCATTATAAATAGTGAAAAATAATGTTGTCATACTTTGTTTTTGCAAGTTTTCTATATATTATCTATAATATGATATTAGAAGTAATGTTTCAATGCCACTATAGCGACAGCAGGAAACAAACAAAGTCGCTGAGAAGCTGAGGCCGGGCCTGTTTGCTATTGTATGACACGCTAAAAAAAGTACTTGCTGAGATCAAAAATTGAAGTGAATAATAATGTAATTTAATTAAAAAACGAGATGATCCACTTATTTTACGTAGACATACTGTAGACATTGTTATAATAATCAAAGCAATCCTAAAGCAAAACAAAAATACAACCACCCTGTGACACCCTCTCTTCCAAACACACACACCTCATGCAGGTGAACAGGATTATAATTCCCCTGAGTGCCGCCCATATCCATGTGACCCGAAGCAACCAACCCATTGCGATCAAACAAATATCTTATAATAATGCAAACCATTACCCAAATATAAAACTATACAAAACAAATGTGTATTAAAACAAAATGCATTACTTTGTACGTGTCATGGCTCCTAAAGCCACTCTTTCCACACTCCACACCATTATTAAAAATCAAACATAGCACAAGACTGGATAAAGTTATGTGTAAATTAATATGCAAGCACGCACGCACGCACACGCGCACACACACAAACGCACACACACCTTAGTGGACGTATCAGTAGGTGTTGGGCTTGGAGTCGGCTGGAAATTACTCCTGTCACTGTCCACCTACAAAGAAAAAAAACGAAGAAAACGGAAACGATTCCTTTGAAACAAAAACTAAATTAAGCAGAAAACAGTATTTTCAAATAATCACATAATAGCACTGAATTATCTCAACAGCTGTCTTTCATACTGGTTTATTGTTCAACATTAGTTGCAGACTGATACAGTGTACTCACTTCCATGTCCTCTGGTTCACTGTTAGCCATTTTGACCGTCTTCTCGCTTTAATACAGAGCAAATCTGTCACTCATAGATTTCAGCACTTTATCGGCATACTTCCGGAGAAGATTTTTATTTGTTGTATTTTCATGAAAACATGCCAATTGTCATGTTAATAACATCATGTTTAAACGAATATCTCTAGACTCCACTTTCGACACGCTAAGGCTAACTTTAAAGGGCTTTAATTTCGCATTACATTTTCCATATTTCCTACACTACATACACTACGTTATGTCACGGACATTATGTCTTCTTTTTTAACATACAAATAACACGTTAAACACAAATATATGACACATAAGATAAGACGTACCTTGACCTGGCTCTACACCAGGGGTCTACACTTTGAACGCTGCTTCTTCTTCTTCCTGATAAATGAAAGTGAAAGTAGTGCAGCTTCGCGAGACACATGACGTTACAGCTGCGGTATGCTCGACCTTTTATATTTACCAATGTTTCTCCATAAACAAGAGAGTCAATATCACCATACGGTGCATTTGAGACTTCAATTAATTGCAGGCAGACAATGTACATGCAAACAGCTAAATGTGTCCACTCTGAAATGGACAAATTCAAAGTAGAGTAAATGCATTGTAATTACATAGTGATTATAAAATGTACATTTTCAGAAAGCTATTTAGTCCTTTTCTCAACAATATATTTCAGTTAATGGAAAAAGTATTTGGATAATAATGAAATTGTGGCAAACTATTTGTACCATGACAGGGTGGACAATGACAGGGTGGAAATGTTTTGGCTAATATTAACATTTAACTAGAGAATGCAATTCCTGAAGAAATTGCTAGTGGGAATGCTTTATGCTGAAAAGCTGACGCTGAATTGCTATGCTGAAATGTAATGTGTAAGAAGAAAGTGAAGAATTTAGATTGAAATGATACATGAACACTGGGGGCTTGAATGTGTGATGAGAGAAGAAAAGAAAGTAAAAAGGCTTGGAAAAGCAGCAGAATATTTGAACTGCAAACTTTTGAACTAACTTGATGGTGAATGATCTGTCGCCATGCCAACAGCATTTGATGACATCCCATAATACGCTTAGATGCGTTGATGGCTGCATCGTTACCAAACCTGTGAAGTTTTGGGCCGTTTGGGGCATTTTCACTGAAGTTATGAGAAAATCGTGTTTCATGGTGAGCATTGTGTTGCCATGGCAACGGCATATCCCGTAGATGTCTTCATGGCTGGACTGTTAGCACACATGTGAAGTTTGAGCACTTTTTGAACATTTTCATAGGCGTTATAGCGACATCGTGTTTTATGGCGAGGGATGCGTTTCCATGGAAACGGCATATGATGAAACCCCATAATTGACGTAGAGCTGTTGAGGGCTGGACCGGTGATATACAAGCAAAGTTTGGGGGACGATCGGACCGTGTCCATTGGACTTACAGCGACATCGTGTTTCATGGCAAGTGGTCTGTCGCCATGGCAACGGCATTTGAAGAAATCTCAAAACTGTCCCGTAGATGTCTTCACGGCTGGACTGTTGGCACACATGCGAAGTTTTAGCACTTTTTGACAATTTTCATAGGAGTTATAGCAATATCGTGTTTTATTACAAGGGATGCGTTGCCATGGCAACAGCTTTTGAGGAAAACTCACTAATTTCACATAGACATGTTAAGGACTGGACCATTAACTGTCATCTGAAGTCTGGTGGTGTTTGGACCATTTGCATAGGTATCATGACAACATCGTGTTTTATGGCGAGGGATGCGTTTCCATGGAAACAGCCTATGGTGAGATCTCAGATTTGGCGTAGAGCTGTGGAGGCATGGACCGGTGATATACAAGCGAAGTTTGGGGGCGATCGGACCGTGTCCATTGGAGTTAAAGCGACATCGTGTTTCATGGCGAGGGATGCGTTTCCATGGAAACGGCATATAATGACACCCCATAATTGACATAGAGCTGTTGAGGGCCGGGCCATTAACCATTATCTGAAGTCTGGTGCTGTTTTAGACCATTTGCATAGGTATCACGACAACATCGTGTTTTAAGGCGAGGGATGCGTTTCCATGGAAACGGCACATGGTGAGATCTCAGATTTGGCGTAGAGCTGTTGAGGCATGGACCGGTGATATACAAGTGAAGATTCGGGGACGATTGGACCGTGTCCATTGGAGTTACAGCGACATCGTGTTTCATGGCGAGTGGTCTGTCGCCATGGCAACGGCATTTGATGACACCCCATAATACGCTTAGATGCGTTGATGGCTGCATCGTTACCAAACCTGTGAAGTTTTGGGCGTCGAAGAACCGTAACAGATATCGGTGAAATTTCAAAGTGTGAAGCATGTCAAGGAAGTTGAGTATCTGAAGTGTAATTTTTGTGTACTTTCGGGTTAATAATGTGGCCTTTTTGGCAGTTTAACTAAAGGTGTGCGGCTGCTACCGTGAGGAAATATCAGCCTGAAATTACAATGGGCTTTAATGGAGGCATGTTGAAAGTGTTTGTCACTTCATGCCCTGAAGAGGCATTTTGTTTAATTATTTTGCTTAATTATTTGTCATTTTTCAAGCTACGAGATGTTTTCCTACGTTTGTCATGAAAAATGATGTCTCAGGAATGTAGGGTTTGGGAATTATGGCAGTTTAAAAAAAGAATATGAAGGCAAATTTCAAGATTTGCTCCACTCTAGCTGTGACATCACGCACTCTAGTTAATGTTAAAATCTGAAGAAAGCCTCTTTACCAAGGTCTGAACAATGTTTAATATCTCTAAAAGTAAGAATCAGATTTAAAAGTTGTGTTACATGAATAATGTCAGAAAGATGTGTAACATTTTAAAGTTGGAATGAGGTTTCTGAGTGATGGTATGAAGGAACAGTTAGCAGTTGAAGTCGCATGAAGATTGTTCAAGTCTGAAGATTTTCTCCATTGACTTCAATGGTTAAAAATGTGATGTATTATGGGATGTATCTCTGGAATTATGAAAGTTATGAATGATAAAAGTAATAGCCATCGATTCCCGACCGAGCTGAACGTTTTGATGTTTGAACGGAGTTTCTGCGATGTTCAATACGGGAGGAGAAGAGGTGCAAAATTCCGGCGGAATAATAAAGAATTTTGTGCGTAGAAGAACAGATAGTTGGAATGCTGTTAACTTATTTTTACTAGCCGTCTCTGGGAGAGGGCCAAGGATATCAAGTGCCACCCGTTCAAGTGGTCTAGCCATAACTGATGGCTGTAACGGAGCACATGGCAGCCTTCCTGAAGTCTCACGGGAAGCACAATCCACACATTCCTTGACCCATACTATGACATCTCTAAACCATCCTGGGAAATAAAAGCGGTCCTTAACCTTTCCCTGGAGTTTCTGCACCCCCGAATGACCTCCAGTAGAAACATTGTGCAGCTGTTCCAAAACTCTAGGCACCATGGACCGGGGCAGGACGACTTGCACTTGTGACGCAGCATCAGAGTATAAAGGAGGAATTCTCACTAGTCTAGACCCCTGCATTTGAAGCTGATTCCACACAGGGGAATATCTCTCAAGTTCAGGGTCTTCTGGCATAAGACTGTCAGCCTGCTTTTTACATTCAATTGTCCGCTGCTACTCAGTGTCATCCATCTGGGCCGAAGCCAATTCATCCATCTCTCCTGCCTGACATGGCACTGAAGCAGAGTACTCTTGTACTGCACCCACATTTTGGGTTACCATGCTTATTCTTCCCTGGGAGGGATTCTGATCACAATGTGGCATTTGTTCTAGAAAAGCTGGTAGCCTGGAAAGAGCATCAGCATTACTGTGGAGCTTGCCTGGACGATGGATGATCTTATTATGAAAATTGGCTAGCTGTTCAACCCAGCGAGCCAACTGCCCCTCCAAGCCCTGATAATTGTGCAACCAACGCAGAGAATTATGGTCGGTTCGCAAAACAAACTCTTTACCTAACTAATAGTGTTTAAAGTGCTTTGTAAAGGTCACCATGCTCAAAAGCTCTTTTTTGGTAGTTCCATATTTACGTTCTTGTTTTGTAAGGGCCCTGCTAGCATTTGCAATAGCTCGCTCTAGCCCTCCCTCCTCCTGAGACAACACTGCCCCAATTCCAACATCACTTGCATCTGTATCCAAGGTAAACGGTTTACTGGGGTCAGGATACGCCAACACGGGTGTCGTAATCAGACTAGCCTTACTGTAAGTCTGTAAAAAGCACTTTGACAGTCCTCACTCCATCGGAAACGCTTCCCTTTCTCTGCGAGCTGATGCAAGTAGCGAGCGATTTTACAAAACGCCTATAGTACGAGGCTAGCCCCAAAAAACTCTGAACCTCAGTCTGGTTTTTTGCAACAGGCCACCCCCTAACTGCTTCTATTTTAGAGTGTAGGGACTATGTTACAAGTAAAAGTCCAGCAATCAAAAAGTAACCCAAATTAATGTAAAAAAGTATTAGCATCAAAATATACTTGCCAAAAGTAAAAGTATTCATTTTGCAAATTGGTCCATTTCGGAATAACATATATTAAATGTTTTGATTATAATTATTGATGCCTTACTGTTCCCCCGGTTGCACTGTTAAGGCTTTAATAACCTTGAATAAGAAACAAATATATGACTGTACTTTTAATATTTTGCGTAGGGCTAAGGGCTTCCAGCACCAAAGGATGACAAACGGAGCAATGAATGTTGAAATTGGAAACCCCGCCTACAAGATCTACGAGGGCGAGCCAGAAGACGATGCTGGGGAGCTGCTAGACGCAGACTTCACGCTGGACCCAGACAAGGTACAGAGAAATAGCACATACATGTATTTATATGCATATGTTGTAGTCTCTATTTATAATATCTAATGCATGATGTTTTGCCTTTTTCCAGCCCACCAACTTCACAAACCCAGTATACGCCACTCTGTACATGGGAGCACACAACAGCCGCAACTCTCTGGCCAGCACAGACGAGAAGAAGGAGTTGCTATCACGTGGAGATGAGGAGCCCCTTGTGGACCCCCTGACATAAACTGTCCATTGGCCTGGATCACGCTATTCCAAACAAACCCTTCTTCTTACCTTTTAAAGAAAAACAAAACAAAACAAAAAAATCGATAAAAAGTGTGAGAGAAAATTGACAAAAAGTGTGAACACTGTATAAAATGTACAAAAATGAAGGACTACTTTTGTATGTGATTGCAGTATTATATTTTGTTCTTTTGAGATTCCTCTGGTCAAAAATGAATAACATTTTCTATGAGAGATTTTTAATTTACACTTTGTCCCTTACCCTTTACCTAAATAGCCACTACCTCTGTGCAAAATGAAATGGAAACAAGAACATCTGAAGTAAAGATGCTATCATTGGAGCAATTTACATTTTTTATTTTTGTATGAATTGTATAGAAAAGAAAAAACATTGTTCCATTTCACCAGTGCCAACTGTTTGTTGTTTGTGTTGACTTTGAGTGGGAAAGGCAAAACTCAAAGTTTTCTAAATCGGTACATATGTTGTCTTGCTAGAGTTTTTTAGCAAGATTGTGTGAGACAGATTTGTGATAGCACCGTTTGTGTATAGCACATGTAAGATGTCAATACCAGATGGCAACTACAGTATTTCCACATATTTTCTTCTCTGAGAACAATGTCCATGAAATGATGATGTTGTCTTCCTTGCACAGAATCCATATGTTACGGTATAGCGTATACTGTTGGCTTTATACCGTAAGATGTAAAACAGGTATGTTTGTTTTCATCACATTTTATGACAGCTGGAGCTCATGTGTTGCTAAAGCGAGAGGTCGAGAGGCGTTTGGTGTGTGCTTATGGAGATGGACAGTGAGGAAGTTGGTAATGGTTTGAACGTTCCAGACAATGGTGGGTGGAGATTACAGATGTAAAGGGGTGGTATGAATGAAGGCCTTCTTGGGTGGGCAGTTTGCTGTGCTTATGAGAGGGGGGCCTTAGCAGATACAAGACTGATGGACTGTCATTTCTGCACCATTTAGTTGTGTCACAAGGCTCTTCCTTTAAAAGGAAAGGGAGTCTGCAATTATGGTCAAATCGAGATGGGTCTTGTTTGTCTTTTTATTTCTCCAGTCCATTTGTTTTGTGTAAAGACTAGATGACATCAATCTGGCTTGTTGATTTATCTTTTTACCTTTAGAGGATCAAGGTCTGTACGTTCACAGTTTTTGTAATGACTCAGTCTTAAGTGCATTATGTTCATTTGGTCTTTCTAATCTCTCACTCCTCTGTGCCCTGCTGCTGCTAATGCTACCATTCTGGTCGCTCTGACACGTCCTTACGCTCAGCCTGTCTCAAAATGCTGCTTTCTGTCAGAGATGTGTCAGCCATATCTTAATGCATGTGGAAAGTAACACCAATCTTTAATGTAATAACAACTTTTTACTTTGCTTACCTGTCAGCAAGCATATTTTATGCTGTTGTATATGTTTTGCCTTTAATTGAGAGAGAAGTACAATCATTTTACCTAAAGAACATTTTTGCAAAATCATACATGCATTTTCAGAATGTTTTTGATTAGTCCTTGTTTGTTTTTTTAATGAAAAATGACACATAGCTTTTATAGTACACAATGCATGGAGGCTCAGACTTTCTTCTGGAAATAGAATAATGTTTAATTTTTGCTGGAGTACTTTACAAACTAAATAACAGATATTGTTATAAATACAAATTAAAAGATTGTACAGAAAACAAGCAATTGTGTTTTTGTTTCACAACATACTGATATATTAAATAATGCTTTGTTGAGACAGTGTGGGTTGGTTTAATCATTTATTTGGGAAATTGTAAATCAATTATATGTACTGTAGACAGTTTGATTTATATATGCCAATGTCATTCTTATACTGGTTAAGGTAATGATAAGGTTTTATTCTTGGGCCATTATTATTTTCCATCTACATGCTGCCACTAGGGCGTATCATACAAAAACACAATATTTGATATCACTGCTATGCTGATGATGCACACATATGTACTGCAGTGATAACATAAATAAAGTGCTGGATGGCACATAACTTTCTCCAGTTAAATGACAAAAATCAGAAGTACTCATTTTTGGCCATCCTAAACCAACCCCGTCCCCGCAAATACATCTCGGCTCCCTCTCATCAAAGATAAAACCTGCGATCACAAAAGTTGTTCAATCATGTTTTTATTAGTTACGTATCATTTAAAAAAATCCAGTCCTTCATATCCCGGTCTGATTTGGAGACAGTCATCCACGCTAGTATCTGTTCTCGTCTCGATTACTGTTAGGCCAAAAATCTATATCTTGCCTTAAAACTTGTGCGAAATGCCGCAGCAAGACTTTAACAAATACCAAAAGGCTAGACCAAATCACCCTGTTTTAATCTCTATTCACTGGCTACCTGCCTGTTTTAGAATGTATTGAGTATCTGAGGCTGGCAGAATCAGTGATATTGTTTAAATCACTTCTTAAAACTCACCTTTTTATTTAAGCTTTTAACTAATGATGACACCACTCTGTTTTACTCGACATCCATGTTCGAATTGTTTTTCCAAAGATGTAGGATATCCTTCATCAAAGAAAGTGATATTATATATTTGAAGATGATACATGTTGATAAACTATAAACTCAAAGCAACCCTTACTGATAATTAAAAGAATAACAAGAGAATAAAAGACGGCAATACAACAGTAAGAGCATTAAAGTAATGATTGTTTTACATAATTATTATTTTAGTGAGAAAATAACTCTCCTTCGTAACTTCATATGGAAGTCTTCACTCGATGCCTTTAGCCTTCAGCTCCTCTCTGACTCTGCCCAGGTAGTGAGGGTCAGGATACCCAAAACTGAGGAAACAACAAAAGTACGATTAATATATTACATTTATGACTTTTCAGTAGACTTAACATCAAAAACAGTAATATTATAAAGAACTAAGAGATTTGGTTGCTGTACTTGTGTGGTCCTCCTGAAGTGCTGGTCTTGTGGTGAATGTCGTTCCAGGTCACCACGTCATCCATCCCAGATGTTCTGGACGTCCCAACTGTGAAAATTAGCTTCTGGTCAAACGCTTTCTTCAACAGGCGCAGCACTTCTCTGCCATCTTTGTTGTCTGGCAAGTAGGCTGTTCTTTGACAAGAATTAAGGTACTTTCCAGGATTCGGATGCTTTGCCTGCAAAACAAGTGAAATGCAACAAACCAAGTCAGAAATAAACGCAACAGTTACATCATTGACATAATGTCTCCAAATATATAAATTAATACATTTACCGTCTGTCTTCCACTTGGAATATTATAGTTGATGATGATAGTGCCGTAGCCTCGGAATCCATCGAGAGGGAAGTCTTTCTTCTCCGTTGTCATTTTTCCATCGGGCTGGTCTCCCTCCATCATCCCAAATACATCTTTGCAAAGAGGACAGATGGGTCCCATGGACGCTTTTGACTGTTCCAGGCAAGCCCCACAAAACTCATGCTTACATTTAAGCTGTTTTTTATTTTTAAATGTATCCAAGCATATAGAACAGTTGTCCTCTTGATTATCTCCTGCAGTTGCTCCCCCTCCAGTGGGTGCTTCAGTGTTGTTTCCAGATGTTCCATTCCACACAGGTCCACCAGAGGCTCCCTCTGATGGACCAGCTTTGCTCAGGTTTTCTGGTGAACCTCTGAACCCAGTGGCACCAGCGAGATGGGTGGAGCTCAGGGGTGATGTGGCAATCTTCTGATAGAGATGAAGAAGAGCTCTGAGAGCGTGGCTCTCCATTGACGCATTTTCCCCAGATCTTTTGTAGCAAACTTTGACTTCAACTTTGCCCTGACTGATGCCGGATTCTTTAAAATCAACACCAAACTTAGTTTTGATCTTAGCTACTTGCTTTACGTAGGAGGCAGTCATCAGCTTCCAGTAGTTCTCCTCCATGGTTAGCCCAGCATTGACCAGAGGGTCTTTGATGCTCATGCCAATGTTTGGTGATGTGTCATGAGACACCTCTCCAGAGTCTACAACAGAAGTGCTGATATTTAACATTTTCTGTGTTGACTTTCTGAAGGTATCTTGACTTTGTCTTGGCCCCCATGAGATCATTTCTTCAGGCGTTACAGTAAGCAAAAGCTTGCTCCCATTCATCTGGTTTATCATCACTTCCTTCAACTCTTCTGGATCTACATGCTTGAGAGGAATATTTGTGGCTTCTAAATCGCTTGAGTACTTCTGGACGAGGCTTGTAAACTCAGAGAGAGCTTTTTGTGGGCTTCCATCTTTCTCCGCTTGAAATGTAATTTTTACATCTGCTGTGATTTTAACACCATTCTCTTCCTCTATACGTTCCATTTCCTTCTTGTAGATGTGGTTCACATACCAGAAAGGGCCCACTGAGAGAGTGCATGCCACTTCTTTTTTCTTCTCTTCTTCTGTCGAAACTGAACTGCTCTTCTCCTCCCGTGGCACATCCTGAATAACATACAATGTTTTCGTGTCAACATTTTTATTTTCAATGCATTTCATTCAGACTGATTAACTACACAGTACATACTACATCTTGTGAAGGAGGAAGGTTCGTTGATGGTTTTTGTGTCTCAAGCTGTAGCGGTGTCAGAGTAACAGACAGTATTGTGACTGTGTTCCCATCTTTCCCCTGCAGTGATTGTCCACTAAGTTTCTGAAGCTCACTCGCAGGAATGGGTTTGCCTTTGAAATGAAGAGAAGACGAGAACATTGCATTAGAAAATATACAAAATGTGAGTAATATAGGTCTGATGTAACAGTCAAAATATATACTATTACTACCTGGAGCCGGTGTAAGACGTATCTCAACTTTACCATCTTCTGAGGCTTTTGTAATGACTTTGCAATCTGCATAGAGTTTGGTGGTGTTGGACCAAGTCTGAAGAACTATCTCCAGGTATTGATGACATTTCTGCAGCGGAACATCTTCTGACCACTTTAAAGAGAGAATGGCTTGAACGCCATCTTTGTCCTGTGATGAAGCCACGAGAGCCTAAGAAACATGTTAAAGTTCATGTCACCATATTATAAAGCAAGGTCACACAACATCCTTCATGCTATGGAGCATTATAAATAGTGAAAAATAATGTTGTCATACTATGTTTTCTATATGACACAAATGTAATAATATGATATTAGAAGTAATGTTTCAATGCCACTCTTTCCACACTCCACACCATTATTAAAAAGCAAACATGGCACAAGACCATATTAGATATATATAGATCATATTTATATATACAGTCTATGCACAAGACTGGATACAGTTATTTGTATATGAATATGTACACACACACACACACACACACACACACACACACACCATAGTGGACGTATCAGTAAGTGTTGAGGGTGGAGTCTGCTGGATAGAATCGCCTTCACTGTTATCACACTACAAATACAAACAGAGGATTTCGGAAACGATTTCTTTGAAACAAAAACAAGATTAAGCAGAAAACAGTATTTTCAAATAATCACATTTTAATAGCACTGAATTCTCTTCTGTCTCTTCTGAATTCACTTCTGTCTTTCATACTGGTTTATTGTTCAACATTTCTTCATGAGACTAATTTAAGAATATGATATAGAAGTAATGTTTCAGTCACATTGCTTTAATAACATTACAGTTTTACCTCCAGTTGGTCACATAGTTGCAATTAGTTACTATAATAAAATAGAATCTGACCTAAGCGGACAGGCTTGGTACAGCAGACCGCAACAGGGTGTGACTTTTTGAGATATACTTTCACTTTCAACACTTGACAGAAAGAAGCTTTTAAGACATCGATCAGAAAAGTATATTCACCAGTCATTAGTTTATAAAAACTGCTAATGTCTTGGAAATTTAGAAATTCCTCTGCCATTGTTTACACACCAGTATTAAAAACCAAACATGGCACAAGACTGGATACAATTATGTCACACACACACACACACACACACACACACACACACACACACACACACACACACACACACACACACACACACACACACCCACCTTAGTGGACGTATCAGTATGTGTTGGGCTTGGAGTCGGCTGGAAATTACTCCTGTCACTGTCCACCTACAAAGAAAAAAAACGAAGAAAACGGAAACGATTCCTTTGAAACAAAAACTAAATTAAGCAGAAAACAGTATTTTCAAATAATCACATAATAGCACTGAATTATCTCAACAGCTGTCTTTCATACTGGTTTATTGTTCAACATTAGTTGCAGACTGATACAGTGTACTCACTTCCATGTCCTCTGGTTCACTGTTTGCCATTTTGACCGTCTTCTCCCTTTAATACAGAGCAGATCTATCTCTCATAGATTACAGCACTTTATCGGCATACTTCCATAGAATATCGGTATTTGTTGTATTTTAATCAAAACAATCATTAATCATGTTAACATGATGTTTCAACGACTATCGCTGGACTCCACTTTCGGTTACGACTTATAGTTACGACACGCTAAGGGCTAAGGGCTTTAATTTCGCCATACATTTTCCGTATTTCCTACACTACGTTATGTCACGGACATTATGTCTTCTTTTTTAACATACAAATAACACGTTAAACACAAATATATGACACATAAGAAGACGTACCTGGCTCTACACGTTAAACGCTGCTTCTTCTTCTTCTTCTTCCTGATAAATGAAAGTGAAAGTAGTGCAGCTTCGCGAGACACACGACGTTACAGCTGCGGTATTCTCGACCTTTTATATTTACCAATGTTTCTCCATAAACAAATCACACTTTATGAACTGTCTACGTTTTTAGAAAGTGTATGTAATTTATTTGTTATGTACGGATCCCCGGAAGGGACATTAGGGGGAGGGAAATTGAAAAATAAAAGGATTTGTTTTGCTTTTCGTAGCTCTATAGTTTGTACATAGATACTTTTAGTAAAAGAAGAAATGTACCATTATGTATTTTAGTAAAAGTTTTAATAAAATACATAATGGTACATTTCTTCTGAATACGCACAAATCCAGAACATTTTAATGAAAAATAATCACTGGCTCTCATTGACACTTTTCTTAAATATCATCTCCTACATTCGAGGTTTGTCCAGAGGTGTGAGAAGTACTCAGACCTTGTACTTAAGTAAAAGTATAAGTACTAGAGTGTAGGAATACTCTGTTACAGTAAAAGTCCTGCAATCAAAAAGTAGGCCAAGTAAAAGTACAAAAGTATTAGGATCAAAATATACCCGAAGTACCAAAATTAAAAGTACTTATCATGCAAATTGGTCCATTTCTGAATAATATAAAAATGTTTTGATTATAATTATTTCTGCATTAATGTGTTATCGGAAGGTGCAGCTCGATTTAATTACTTTGTATACTGCAAGGTAGCTTGTGAATTTACTCCAGGTGTAACTACATTTTTATTTAAGTGTTGATTATATTTCACATCATTAATCCAAATCTGTAAAGTAACTAAAGGTTTTCAATAATTGTAGTGGAGTAGAAGTACAAAGAAGCATAACATGGAGATACTCAAGTAAAGTACAAGTACCTTCAAATTGTGCGTAAGTAAAGTACTTGAGTAAATGTACTTAGTTACTTCCCACCTCTGGGTTTGTATTATCATTTAGAATTTAAAATCATATTTGGATTCAGGTATCTTTTCATTTACAGTATACTCAAAATATTTCTTATATACTGTATAAATAATAAAGTGATCCATATATTAGTTCAGCATAACTGGCTCTATCAAACAATTCAAGTGACAAAGACAACAGTTGTAGAAAAAGAGGAAAAGTCTAACCCCAAAAAACATTAGTAGATGTGCAAAATCTGTTTATTTCTTTATACCATCTTCCAACAAACGTCATTGGTTCTGATCTGTAATCTTTGCAAATATACACAAAATCAAACATAATATGATCTAATTGAGACATAGGTGAAACAAATTATGTCTTGTAAATAAAATATTATATAAAATTATTTTCAAATGCAAACTCAAACACAAACGTAACAAGGTGCTGACAAAAATGTAAATGACTTCAATATAAACCTGTCATAAAAGAGATCCAAAATACTGAAATGGCATTAGCATTCATAAGAAATACTTCAAAGACCAAATATTAAAATGGTACTGCGCCTTAAACATGAAACTTTAAGATTTAAAACTTTTTTGAAGCAGAAAAGCAAACAAAACAACAAAATATGACTTAATTCCTTCAAAAACTGTTCATCTTTGACTTGCTCGACTCAATCTTAAAACTATTATCCCTTCATAAAATAAAGACACCTTCAGTTAATACAAACCTTCACTTTACCCTTTTCCACTTTATCCTACTTATCTTTGGTGTGAATATTGATGTATGTGAATACACAGTGTAGTCCAATTCGATACTATACGTTACACAGAGAGCTAGGTGGATGCAGGTAAGGCGGTGGGACTGTAAGCAGAGGAGAAGGCATCAGTGTGAGCTGCAGCAGGAGCACAGGCCAAGTTGAGAGGTGACATCCTCCATCATTATAGTACCATGGCGTAAGCAAGAAGAAAGATTATTCAGCTTCGTCTCTCAGGGTGAACCTGGAAGAAATCATGAATAATGGTGATCATTAAACAATGAACAATGTTAAAAACAGATGCATACTGTACCTGTAGATAAGTGATTCTCCAAAGAAACTTCTCCTACAGGAACATTTCTCTGCTTTATACATACTTAATACTCAATATGTTGCGTCTCAGTACCTTCAAAACATGGTTAAAACACTGCTGAGATTCACTGCTCAATTGCTTATTGAACAGCAAGCATTTTAAATAACTTTCAATAAGTGATTTATTCGATGTTGGAGAATGTCTTATTTTTTGGATTGACAACTTTGTAATTATTATGTCCATAATCCTGGACCATCCATGGTTATCTAAATGTGGATGTCACTTTTTTCATCTAAAACAGATGCTAACCACAGCCTCGATTCTCGGTCGGGGAGAACATTATGAACTTTATCACTTAAAAAACGTAATACAGTCTGCTCTTCTCACCATTCTGTGACGCCAATCATCAGGTCAACCTGGGACAACTCGATCTGCACCTAAAAAAACAGGAACGAAATGTTAAAGTTCTAAATACATATTGTGTATAAGCAGTAATTGTGCATGTTTTCAGTGCATTTCAGTGTAAAAGAAAGTAAAGAACACACTTCAAAGCAGTTTAAAGTTACAAGGCAGGCCAGCATTAGTGCAAAGCTTGGTCACACAACTGTCGATTTACCCAAAAATCTGAATGTGTGTTGTGGAGTCGTCACATGTGACACTTTTTTGACACATGGGCTTGTTAGCCTTTGGCTGCTGGATTTGTAATAAACATTTCAATTAAAATCAGAGTTACAGGTGGAGGTGTCAGACTGACCTGTCCAAGGACGTCACGGCTTCTGAACGAGGCAGAGTTGTTTTTCACTGCTACACTGAGGCGTCTGAATCTTGTCTCATCCATAGACAGATCATACTCAAACCTTTAAAAAAAAGACAAACAAGATAAGAGGTTAACAGTAACTGTATTGATAAAATATTAATCAAAAGATTAAGTAAAATGTTAGAAAATAAATGGTGGAAAAAGCTGTTCAGCCTCCCGAATATAGAGATGTCCTGCTTTTCTCTGTTTTATATCATATTAATCTGAACATTTGGGTTTTGGACCGACAATATATTCAAATACCCTCCCCTTGGGCTTTGAGAGACTGGAATGGACATTTTTCATTCATTTCTAACATAGACCAAGCGATTAATCGAGAAAAAATAATCTAGCTGCAGACCTAATGCGAACACTAACAAGGACACTGAGAGATTAATAAGAACCTGCGGGCCTCCATATACAGAAGCACTGGGGCTCAGACCCTGCTGTACACAGGATCGAACCGTCCTTTTACATGTGTTACTGCTCTAAATCCCCCTGTCACTCTCCAATAAAGGCTAATCTAGCCCAAAGAAAATCAACAAAAAACCAGCTCAGTAATATAATGACAATAAGGTAAGTACCTCTCATTGTATTCTGGGTTGAGGTCTCTTTTCTTCACTGCTGTCTTCCTCTTGGTGGCCTTGCTTTTGTCTGGCAGCAGCACGAGGGAGACATAGCTGTCTACACCATCCTTACTTTGAGACAACAGACCTCTGCAATCAAAAACAGAAAGAATTTCTTAAATAACTGTGTACGTTAAAGCATGAGAATTATTAAACAATATTAAGTCACAGTATATAAGAGCAGTAAAATGCCTCTTTGTGAATTTGAGTTGTCATCAACAATGTCCTCATTTTGATAAATGTTCATTTTTTTTCTTGAACAGTAAGTTGATAGCTTTTTTAAAACAGACCCTTATTCCATGTTACTACAAATGGTATTTCAGAAATGTAAAGTCAGATGATTTGTTTTCTATCAGATTATAGTGTTTTTTTCTTTCAGCAGGAAGATGTAATAAAACAAGAAAACAAAACAAGACAATCAAATTCTGACTTTTGAACATGTTGAACTAGACTAGAGTATACTGTGAGTATCTAGCTCATTGAATATGCATAATTATTATAATTATTAATTGCAGTTGGGGTAAACAGTGGTAAAATGGTAATAGCATGGTTTAGTTTCTCAAAAGTAACGCTTGTGTTGAAGTTGAGCCATGATAATGAATGGGAAACAAACTTGGTATACATTTTCAATTGAAAAAAACAAACAATAATATTTTCCCTAAACCAAGCATCAAAAAATATCCACAGTATGTCATTGGTGAGGACACAATCTGACTGGAACACTGCATTTTAGGAGGCTCACCTGCAGGCATGGACAATGACGATGAGCTTCCTCTCCTGTGAGGCGTATGAAAGAGACAGCTTCACCTGCCCATTTCCAGGCCCAGAGGCAGCGCATGGCAGAGTCCCTGCACTGATCAGATCCACCATTTTGGAATCTAGAACCTATTGAAAGCAAATACAGGATGGGAAGAACAAGTATTGTTATTGATTTGTTGTTGTTTAATGCTATAGAAGAACATGCCTGTGTGGGCAGGTATGTTTAGCACCTTGAGTTCAGCCCTGAGCAGGATCTGACTCTCAGGTGAAGCTCCATCCAGATGAAACCACTGGTCCAGGATCAGCTGTGGCTCTGCAAGCATTTCCCTGACCGGAACCACCAGAGATCCCATTGGCTGGTCCCAACCACTGGACAACTGCATTTAAAGAGAGAGGGAGAATGTAAAATACCCTTCCAACATCACTACTGTTAGATTTGAGATGTAGAATGAACGTTTATAAATGTCTTGCCTTTACTACAAGCATCTGATGTTTAGGGTCATGGACCAGGAAGAAGAAAGACTCATTCCACTCAGGACTGGTGCTGCGCTCGCACAGCTTAAGAGATGAAGAAAATATGGAACAGTTATTATAACTATATTGTATTCATCAGTTTGACATTCAAGCACCATGCTTCAAGAGTCTCACGTTGGTTTTGTAGGTTGTTTCACCGAGAACAAGCTCAGCTCCTGCTTTGGGTTCCTTCCCACTCTTTTTCAACTGAAGAGGAAGAGAGAGGCATTCAAGTTTTATTCTATGAGGAATACTTTTTTTACTGTATGGTATGTATATAAACGGCAGGTGACTTACAGGTAATGAATGTGCTCTTTCCATATGGACAAAGAGCAGAGCAGCGGAGGGGACAGCCTTGTTCTGATAAGACTGGAGAGATTGAAGCTGCAGCACCTGAGACATAAAGTTAGGCCTGATGAGTATTTTGTAATGCGAGTCATGTTCCTTGTGTGTTGGAATGTGACTCAACAGTATTATCAAGGAGGTGGCATTGTTATGGACAAGTTAATAGTGCTTTAAAAGATGTTAAACAGTAGGTTATATAGAGACGTAAACATAAGTAAGGACGGACCTGGTCAAGTCTGACTGAATGTGACACAGTGGGAACCCATTCCAGTATCAGGTGGACCCGCCCAGACTTCACATCATTCAGAGTGTACCACTGCAACAGAGACACAGCCAGTTCAACAAGCAGGGCAACACCCTTTGTATCAGGAAGTGACACAGAACAGAGAGTAGAAATCACATGGCATGATGTATGATCATGAATGGTTGACTAACCTGATCTGTGTACTGGGATCTCATGACCTCGTTTAGCTTAATGCTGAATCTGCAAACATGAAAACAGGCAAATGTTTGACAAGATTTTTTAATTTCAATGGCTTACCTCCTGAAACACAGATTTCCTATGTTTGCATTTAGTTAAAATAGCAGAATTTTGAGGTAATAGTAGTGTGTAAATATATTTTTAATCCAACCACATTAAATGATCTGTTTATGTAAAGGACACCACTGTGAATAGTACCGTTTTCAAGCCATAGCATATATATATATATATATATATATATATATATATATATATTCTTTTTATTATAAAGTAGATGTGCATTGTTTTTATTCAGCCAGTAAGAATTATCAACCTGTTTTTATCATTGTGTATTAATTTATGCATTTCAGTGCAAATGAATGTAATGTCAAAGGTCAGGACTTTACACTTTTATCATGTGTAATAATACAAGTTACTTATCAAGACAATCAACATGAAACATACCTGCCAAGGAAGTCATCAGAATCTAAATCCTTATCAAATGCTTCAAACTTTATTTCCTGGACGCTGTGACCACTCAAAACCAGCTGTTAACAATAAATAAAAAACAACATTTGATTAAAATACTGCAGCTTCACCAAGATAAACATACAAGACTTGAAACAAAGAATACTTCATACCTCATACATTTCGTTCCATGTTGGGCTAAGATTATCTTTGATTACATGACTCTTGAAATTAACTCCCCCTATGTTGATCTTGACATAGGGGTCGCTCTTGCCCTTCACCATGCCCCCCATCAGGTTATCCTTTGCAACCAGATTCTGGGCCGCCAGCAGGTGAATCCTCAGCAGCCCCTGCAGGATGAACACTGTAACTGTTATCAAAACATACATGGAGCACTGAGCCTGAACTAATTTATATAATATAGCTTCTATATATATTCAGCACAACCCAGATCATCCGACCTGTGTGACCTCAGCACAACAGAATGACGTATATCTAGAAAACAGAATTTTCTTTCCTTATGTCATGTATTTTTAATATGAAATTAAACCACTTTATTTTGTACAGATGTATTTGATTACTATTATATACACTGACATCTAGGAGCACATTATGTCACTCTAGTAGGTTAAGGTGAACGTTGATAAGATAGAAGATACCTTTCTTAGTTGTCTAATCTAAATTTGGTTTATGAGAACAATTTTTCTTCATAATTAAATGTCCCTCCCAGAGTTCTGTTAAAGGTAAGGTAGGTAAGTTTGAGAAACCGGCTCGAGATCGCTAGAATTTGAAATAACACAACCAGAGAAAATCTGCCACTTCCTTATAGAGCCCCTCCTCCAACACACACGTACGCGCACATGACCAATGAGGGCACGAGATAAGTTTGTGCACAGATGGAAGGCTGACAAGCAGGTAGGCCATCCAGTTATTTTAGCCGGGCTGGCTAAAATGATTGGTCGTGCTTTTTACAGTATTACGGCTTCCACAGATGACATTTTTGCATGGATTTTTTGTCAAAGCACTTAAGATATTCATTGCTATCGGGATGTTAAGAGCATTCCATGGAATATAACAAAAAGTGTATCTCGAGCCGGTTTCTCAAACTTACCTACCCTACCTTTAACTGCACCCCACAGAAATTCCTCTTTTTTCAATGCAGCTGGCATGACACATGTGCCTATGCGGAAGTTAAAAAGAAAATGCACCACACATGGCTGATCAGGAGAGGAAGCTGAAATCACAACAGCAGAGCCTAGTGTGCTATTTGAAGACAAGAGGAAGTAGCACATTAACGTTGTTAGAAAAAAGGCTGGAGTTACTCAACACACATGATGACCATCTGTGATTTGGCACGATTTTATTGTTAGTGTGTTTAATTACGAGACACTCATTTTATATTGGACCCTGGTGAATAATTGTTTAGATATTATAGTTTTAAAATATTTAAAACATTTTTTCCTTGATTTATGTTCTCCACTATACTGATGATAACAAGTGTTACCTTTATCAGAGAGGTAGTAATCAGTAAACTGCTGAAGGAAGTGTTTTCTTATAATAAGAAAAAGGGGGAAGTGACAAAGAACAAATACCACTGTCCAGTTGGTGGGAGCTCATTATTAAACTTCCACTGTGCTAATCAGGGTATAAACTAAACCCACCTCTCTACCAAAGTCCTGGCTGGGGCTGGTGTGTGGTGGGAGATCTTCCTCAGCTTCGGGGATTTCTGTGACCTCTGCAGGCCCCAGGGTGTCAGCAGCAATACCAGTTACTGTGGCCTGAGCAAGGTTGCCTAAACCAGTACTACATTAACCAGAAACAGAAACACACACACACACACACACACACACACACACACACACACACACACACACACACACACACACACACACACACACACACACACACACACACACACACACACACACACACACACACACACACACACACACACACACACACACACACACACACACACACACACACACACACCACACACACACACACACACACACACACACACACACACACACACACACACACACACACACACACACACACACACACACACACACACACACACACACACACACACACACACACACACACACACACACACACACACACACACACACAGATGTATAATTATTTTCATTTTCATTTCAAGCATTAATATAGGAAAAGCAGGTGGTCTAACTTGCTGAGTAGCTTACCCTGCTGTTTGTATTTTCCCAGGTTCGGCTGTTTCTGACTGTGTTGGCTGCTCTTCTGGATCCTCTGGCTCCTCCACCAGCTGAGTAAGAAGAAGATAGATAGAAGAAGATAGATAGAAGAAGATATACAATAAATACAATTACATTGAAAGTTATGAGGGTGAAAATAGATATGTTAGACATAATTACAACTGAGTGTAATGTTGTATGACTCACTGCAGCAGCAGGGGTTGTATCAGGTAGAGTGTAACTGGCAGCTGGTTCAGGGGGAGTAGCATCCTCTGTGAGGGCCAGATCATCTGCTGCCTCAGACTGTTTGAACTGGCTGGATACTGCAACAGATCTGAAAGTACACACAGCTGTTAAAAAACACCATAAAACTCCTGACTGGAGCTGGATGATGGGGAATATTAGCCTATTAAAGCTTCACTTGGCTAGTAATGTAGTTTCAAATGGAGCATTATTGCTTGTATAGTCAACAGAGAGGCACTACAAGTATGATTTGAATGTTAAGTTAAGTGCTTTTCTGCATTTCTAAATGTGTATTTATTGCAAACTTTTCATTTTGTTAAAATGACACCAAGGGATATTGTTTTGACGGTTTGTGAAGACAGAGGAACAGCCTGCAGTTGTGATGTGTGCATTATCAAATCATACTCACTCATCTTTGGTTAGCTCTGAAATGTTTTCGTCGTCACTGGCTGTGGGAACGACAATCTCTTCCTTCTTTGAATGAGGCACAGAAGGCTGTGGAGCTTCAGTCATCCTCGAGCTCAGGATCTGTCAACAACAAACTTCCAGTTGGCTTTTTTGTGTATCAATGAAATGATAATGGTCCCCTGTGTGTGTGCTCTCTTACCTTGAGTTCAGCTCTCAGTAGGATCTCACTTTCAGGTAAGGCTCCATCCAGAGGCATCCACTGGTCTAGGACAAGCTGCGGCTCAGAGAGCAGCGCTCTCACAGGGACTACAAGAGATCCCATTGGCTGGTCCCAGGCACTTGACAACTAGAGAGATATTATGGCAGTCAGGGGTGGAGATGGTGGAGATTCAGAACATTTAAAAAATATTAAAATAATAAAAGCTAAGACTATTGCAACAAATGAAAAACAAACACAATATTTGCACAAAATATAGTTATGTACTGTACTGTATGTCCCTGACACTGGCAGCAGTCTCCAGATACTGCACTACAGCACACTCACCTTCATTATGAGCATCTCCTCTGTGGGGTCGCGAACTAAGAAGTAGAACGCCTCTTCCCACTGAGGTGATCTGGAGCGATCAGATACCTTCAGGCAGGAAAAGAGAGGTAGGTTGGGCAAGAGGTGGCACTTTAAACTGGGCATGTAATAACAAAGTAAATGTGTCAATTGTACTGATTGTTTCTTTTCTTTCCAATGGTGTTTTGTGCAAGCATTCGTCTGTGTGTACTTTTCAATACCACCATTGGGTGGCGCCAGTCACATTTGTTTTTATTCTGACCAAAGCAGCTTTTATAATTTTGAAAGCATTTTGATAAATTTTCAAACACACTAATTTAGTTTTGTGGGAAATGTTGATGTGGATTTCATTATGACATTCTATTGACTAAATGATTCATTGGAATATTCATTAGGGTTAGGGTTATAAGCTTATAAAGACACTGTAGGTGTAAGTGTTTGTTTAATTTCTTCATCACCAATCTCATACCTTGGTTTTGTAGGTTGTTTTACCAAAAACAAGCTCAACCCCAGCCTTGGGCTCCTTTCCACTCTTCTTAAACTGAACACAGAAAGACAAGCATGAGAGTAGTTTGTAGTCACCGTCTGTAATTAAGGCAACAATGAGACAAAATCCAACTTCCCTTTCTCTCTAAAAATAAAACATTGCTGAATCATTGCATCACAAAATCCAACAGCAGAGTAAGGTGTTGTAAGTAAGGTTTTTCACTTTGTGCAAGGACAGGATGTGTTAATCAATATGTTATTTCCAGACATCTACACAGCACACGTATTATTGTGTTTTTCAGATTCAAATTACAAGGGACTCACAGGCAGTGAGTGTGCTTGGTCCACATAGACAAAGAGCAGTGCTGCAGAGGGAATGGTCTTGTTCTTGTAAGACTGGAGAGATTGCGCTTGCATCACCTGCAGCAGAGAATCAAATGAGAAATACATTATGATGACTCACAGTGAACAGAGCAGGGTATCATATTTGGAACAGCACAGATGTGGGAGGAATAGGCAATTGATTGATTAAGAGAGGAAACATAAACTGATAGGAATTGCACTTACTTGGTCCATGGTGGTATTATGGGACACTGCTGGTACCCACTCTAGTATCAGGCGAACACGTCCAGACTTTACGTCATTCAGGGTGTACCACTGAAACAGAGACGTACACTTAAATAAAGCCTGAGATTACACCAGAGGCCATTACTAAGATACAGTAAGACATGCAATACTGACCTGGTCTGTGAACTGGGAACGGATGATGTCTGCCACACTGATATCACACCTGCTCACAATGAAACACATTTGCACATTTAGCAAGCATTTCAGACAATAGCAAGTTCAATTAGAACCTTAAAAATCATTACATCTAAATTATTTATAATTTCTAAGATTTGAAAATAACACTTTCCATATGTAATGGTACAGAGTATAGAAAAAATATGAATGCTTGAGAAAACGATTCGTTATCTATAAATCAAATATCAAATTACACACCGTATGGTAATAAACCTGTGATTTATCTTGATATCAATTAACTACATTTTGGGCTTTCATACTTGTTGACACATTGAGACAATTAAGCTTTCCAGTCATAGTCTGACAACTAGAAACCTCAGCATTAGACCTTACCTGCCCAGGAAGTCATCCTGGTCCATGTCTTTGTCAAAGAGCTCTAACTGCACCTCCTGTCCTGACTGAGGCCTCAGTACCACCTGAGAAAACACAAAACAGTAGAATAAAAATCAGGTGACTAACATTAAGTATTATCATTGTCATCTTTATTTGAAATCATGCTCATGGTTAATAATACACACCTCATACATCTCGTTCCAGACTGGGTTGAGATTCTCCTTGATCACATTACTCTTAAATGCAATCTTTCCAACTGAAATCTTGGCGTAGGGGTCACTCTTGCCCTTCATCATACCACCCATCTTGTTGTCTTTGGCAACCAGAGTCTGGGCCTCCAACAGGATGATTCTCAGCAGCCCCTACAGGAAGTGATTATTTTATAGATTAGATTGGTAGGCTCTATTTGAATTAAATGTGATTGTGATATGCATGTATTTGCTCCTGTAGATCATGTTTTGCGATTTTACCTCACTCGCAAAGCTGAGGTCTGGGGAAGTATGAGCAAGCTGTGCTATGGCAGGGGTTGGTGGTTCTTCTACCTTCTCCTCAGTCACATCAGCTGCTGTTTCCTTTACATCGACATCTTCATGCAAGGTCACTGAAGAGGCAATAGTCTCTACAGGAGTGTCAACTGAAGTTGACCTGAGTAAGAGAAGCAAAACAAACGTTGAAGTGACAAAAGGAAAGACAGAGAGAAAGGACAGACATTTTGAATGAACTATCTCACCTCAGCACTGTGTCTGCCTCCTGTTTCTGCTTAGCAGGGGAAGGGTCTGACGTTGTAGTGACCTTAGCCTTATCAACTGCCCCAGGACATTTGCTGGGAATCAGCATCTGTAGTTGAGTTGATATAATTATAATTTTACATTGTTAACATGCTATACAGTAAAGCTTACTTATCAATAGCAGTACACCAAGTAGAACATTAGAGAACTTCCTCAAAAGTCTCATGACAAAGAATTAAAAATGTAAAGTCTATAGATAAGAGAGAACCAGAAATACATAGAACATCATGCCACTGAGTAAAAATAAATATAGATGTAGACGGTAGGGACACACAAAATATTAGTTCACACAGTTCATAGGCAGAGAAAGAAACTGAGAAACCGATGTATTTTGAAAGTGATATAATAAAAACTTAAAGGACATATCATTTGTATTTAGAATAATACAAACAAAGAGCAGACAGAGTTATTCCACCTTGAGTTCAGCCCTGAGAAGAACCTGACTCTCAGGTGAAGCTCCATCCAGATGGAACCACTGGTCCAGGACCAGCTCCGGCTCAGACAGCAGCTCTCTGATGGGAACCACCAGGGAACCAATGGGCAGAGTCCAGCTGTGAGAGAGCTGGAGAAACAAAATGCAGGGTGATAGAATAGTAAGTATTTAAATATCCGAGCTCATACTGTATGTGTCTGTGTGACCAAAACTCTTTCTGTGAAGACAGCATACCTTAACAACGAGAATATCTTCTCTGGGATCTCGAACCGGGAAGCAGAAAGCCTCATTCCACTGAGGAGATGTGGTGCGATCACACACCTTCAGAAATGCAAGTTAGTCAATATTACTGATAGATATAATGTCACTCTAACATAAAATATAATCAGTGCTATAGAAAGTACAGTACTACTCAATTATAAGCTGAAGAAAGTTGGAAGTCTTACCGTAGTTTTCCTGGACATTTCTCCAAGAGTAACCTCTGCTCCCACTTTTGGCTCTTTGCCGCTCTTCTTAACCTGTAGAAAGACAAACAGAACGTAACGATAAAACATTTTGTATTATAAACATTAACTACATTACCTGATATTATCAGTACAAAAAAAAGACGTACTGGTAAGCCATCAGCTTGCTCCATTAAGATAAACAATAAACCAGCGGAGGGAACAGCCTTGTTTTGGTAGGACTGCCTTGAATGGAACTGCAGAACCTGAAGACACAGAAAAAAACAAGTCAGAGCAGATCAGGAACAGTTCTTAAATCCACGATTAATCTGTAAATACCAACCTGGTCCAATCTGTCTGACTCTGAGGCTGTCGGCATCCATTCCAGTATCAGGTGAACTCGACCAGACTTCACATCACTGAGAGTGTACCACTGAGAGAAGAATTTAAATCATCCGTTATATAAAATACAGGAACTGTGTTTTGTGTTACAAATGTATGTAAAGAGGGTTAAGGGTCTAATCAAAGTGAATAAGACTTAAGGTATTTCATATTCCCTTATTCAGATCACACTCTTTGAAGCTAAACATGCAACAATGTGTTTGGCAAGGTCAATCCCACCTGATCAGTGTACTGTGAATCAATGATGTCCTTCAGACTGATCTTCAGCCTGTATGTCAGGATAAATGAGATTAGAATGTATTTTTGGGTCCAATTATTACATTTCAAAACTGGATTACTTAAAGCTATTGTACCTGCCCATGAAATCATCCTTCATGTCCATGTCTTTATCAAGCACCTCCACATGCAGGTCCTGGCCAGGCAGCTGGGTGAGGATTACCTGAGTAGTGAAGAAAAGGTAGCAAATTTAAAAAGACACTATTTCACAACAAAGCTGTGTTCTTCAATGGCTAACCTTGTTTTATTTACCTCATACATCTCATTCCATGTGGGGTTAAGATTAGTCTTGATAACCTGACTTGTGAATGTTTCCCCCCCAACGTTGATCTTGACATAGGGGTCACTCTTTCCTTTAATCATGCCCCCCATCATATTATCTTTAGGAATAAGGTTCTGGCCTGCCAACAGGTGGATTCTAAGCAGTCCCTGGAAAAAAAAGACAAATAAATTAGATAAGACAAAACACAATTTGAAATGCAAATCATTCCTCCGGTCATCCATTACCTCCGTAGCAAAGCTAGGATGAGGAGCGGTCTGCTGTGGGAGCTGTTTGGATGTTCCAGCCTCCAGATTAGATGACACATTGGATGAAATGTGTTCCTCATCCAACCACAAGACCTATGTTACAATATAAAAGAGTCAACATAAATAGGCTGGAAAAAATGTGCCTAAAACCGAGAATCTTCTGTCATTTATTCTCAGCTTAGACACCATTATACATGTACGTTTTATCTTTGATTCTAAGGTTAATAACATCCTACAGTACATTGTGCTGTCCTTTATCTCGTGTTTATTTATTGTTCAATCATTGGATTCGTAAATGGGACTTGTTGCCATTTACCCTGAGGACTGTGTTGATATAGATGCGACTGGCAGATCCGGAGTTGTCCAACTGGAACCACTGGTCCAGAGAAAGATTAGAATTGGACAGCAGACGGGACAAAGGGATTTTCAGACTGCCCAATGTCTGCACACGATCTGCATCCTTCACCTGATTGATTTAACAAAACAGAGAGCCAAAATTAGACCACAAGACGTTTGGCTACCAGAATACCAAATGCAAAGATCAGTGTCAAGAAGATAATCTTATGAGCTGCACCTGAATGTCTATGTCCTGGTTGCGAGGGTCCTGGATGAAGAAGGTAAAAGCTTCCTCCCACTCAGGATTAATGGTTGTGTAACAAGTCTAAAGGCGAGAATAAAGGTGTGCATATGATTTAGAATTAAATGAAATATAATCTACAGATATATGGTGGGCCTTCCCAGTAGATATACCTTGCTCTCTCTAGTGACGTCCTGCACAGACAACTGCACCATGGGATTGGGCTCTTTGTTTCCCTTCTTCATCTAAAAAGACACACAAGTACAGACAAATGAATACACAGTAAGGCATGTGACAATCGGTTACCACAAGGAGAGCAAAAAATAGACTTTATCTACTACCCTGATAACACATGGTTAGTGTGAATAATAGTGTCTATATGGTTACCATAGCAACAGCACCAACAACAGACAGGAAGTACCATACCGCATGGCACAATCAGGAAGTTTAAAGCTGCATCGAACGAAACCACAAAGACTGAGTTTCAATCCAAAGATTATTCCACTGCTGTGCCCTTTTGTGTATAACTTGACAACAGAAATAGAAATAGTACGAAATATTTGTTTAAGAGCGCCGGACAAAGTTAGCCACACACATCCACTCTGCAATACTGTAGGGCACAGGAGGGTTAGAGGCTGCAGCAACAACTTTGTGGAATGTAAAGACAGGTGGCAGTTACAGCTCTGCCCCAGTTTGAGCACACACAGGAAACAGCTCTCACGAATGAGGGCAGAGAGGGAAGAGGTATTTGACTCACAGGGAGGGCCTCAGCTTTGTCCAGATATACAACCAAAATGGCTGAAGACGGTGGATCTGCAGTCTTACTGGTTACACTTTCATTCCTCTTTAAGACCTGGAGGAGAATGGCAACAAATGTTTGTCTGTTTTTTAAAGTAAAAAGAAAAATCCATAACGAATCAGCGGAAAACTTGTGATACGAACCTCCTCTAGTCGATCAGTGCTAGGCAGCAAGGTCAACCACTCCAGTCTGAAATGAACTTGTCCTGAAGTAGTTTCTTTCAAAGGGAACCACTGGGAAGACAGGCCAGAAATACATTCACAGTCCGAATATTAAAGAATTGCTTATACAAAATGTGACTGAGGAGGTAAAGAGAATTATATTTACATTATCAACAACGATGGATTTCTTCACAATGCCCAAATCCAGTTTGGTCCTAGATGGAAAAGGAGTGTAAGAAATAATTAGATAAAAAGAAGAAAATGTATTGATACAAATTAAAAGGATTTTAGAAAAGAAAGAGATGCTTTAACTTTAACAAAATGACATGCTTTCAGAAAAAAAAGGCAGTGTTCTTTTTGCAACTGGCCATGAAAGTTGACATATGAGGGTGGCAGATTTAATGTTGGCACACAATAGACATGAATGTGAATATGTACCTGCCCAGGAAATCATCCTGGTCTGTGTCTTTGTCATATACCTCCACCTCCAACTCTTGACCAGGCACTTCATGGACTATAACCTGATGTACCAGACACATACAGGGACATGAGGACTGACAGAGGGATTTGAATGGAAGCTGGCTGCGGCCCTATGCTACCATGAATGAAAATGAACATTCCTAGCTCTAATCCCTCAAATACAGAACAAGTGGCATGATATATGATTGAGTCTTCCAACACCTGTGCAATGATGACATACAATACATTTAAAAATGTCCATACATCTCCCAATCTTACCTCATACATCTCTTCCCACTTGGGACAGTTTGTGTTGTTGATGTGTTTGGAGGTGAAGGTCTGAGGGCCAACCCTCAAAATTGCATAAGGGTCGGACAAGCCAGCCATAACCCCTTTCACATAGTTGTCCTTGGCTGCTAGATTCTGTGCCTCTAGTAGGTGGATGCGTACCACACCCTAACAAACAACAAGAGGGACCAAGATGAAAGATAAAGTTTTGGACTGAGATGTATTATATAGTATAGTAGTATGTACTGCATATGTGGTAGTCTCCATTTATCTGTAGATGCATAGCCAGGCTTTACCCTGGGCAAAGGAGAGCGTAGTTGGGCCACATGCAGGCCTGGAACCAGGGGGACAACCAGGCGGTTGGGCAGCACCAAGAAGGAGGCGATGGCATCCATAATCATGCTGTCAGACATGATACTGAGACAAAGAGACAGCATTTTTATGGAAATGTACAGCAGTACTGCCTATATAATATAGTATCTACTGTGTTAATAAAACCCACACATGAATACAAACATCGTGAAATTGTGTCTTTTATAAGATCTTGGTTAATACTAGTGTGTAAAACCGATGAGAGCTTATCTCAGCATGACTCACTTCAGTCCAGGGACATCCAACAAATTAGTGAGTCCAGTCCAATTGATGTCTAGTTTCTGGGAAGAGATAAGACAGATAAATGTGCTGTGTGTAGCAAATCAATCAGGATTACTCTGAAATCAATAGCCGGAATACAATACTCTACTGAGATCCATAGTGGTCACAGTAATGGGGGTTGAGGGGCAACAAGAAAAAAGGACAAATAGAGGTGAATGTGGATAGACCTACCGGCCGCTGAATGAAAAACATGGTGACTGCACCCACTATGGGAACATCTCCGATCAGAGGCTCAAGAATCACCCGCATCATCCCGTGTAGCTAAGGACATAAGCAGAAAGGATGTCTGTAAAAAATGTGGGTAAACACTAATAGAATGGCACATCTTCAGTTATGCCTATTGACACGCAACATCTTTGTATTAGTTGCAAGCAACACTGTAATTCAGTCAAATAGTTTACATCTAGGCTTGAAAAAAAGACAGACCTGTATTCCCTTGACTCCAGCTTTGCAGAAGTATCTCTTCACCTCAACGTTGATCTCTACATTGCCAACATAGCTGAGGATACAAGTGAAACAGTGTCATCTAGAATAATGCCTTCTAAAAGCTGTGAGAGGTGACGGCAAATCCAAAGAGCAATGGATATACATTTACCTAATATATAGATCAAGCAGGACTTGTCCTTTGTCGTTCTCGGTGTGAGCCTTGATCCCTACAACCTTCATGGCCTGCAGCAAAGAGAACACACCTTTTCAGCACAATATAAACAACATGCATCATTTGTGTGAAGTTTTACAGCAGTGTCATATTATATTTAACTTATCAATGGCATCACCTTGTCTCCCATGTCCACTTTTGTGAAGCTGAGGGTTTGGAGGTGGTTGCTTGAGGCTCGGATAGATGGAGCAATGGTTTCCACCAGCAGCTTCTCAAGGTATTGGCCGACAAATGGCCACACCTGCTGCAGCACCTACGCAGACCAATCAAAACTCTATGGTTATAAGCTGCTTTTATTAGTTAGAGCATAACTGACAGTATGCACACCAGTAGATCGACAGTTGCAATGACAAGGGGTGACAATGCAGCACAAAGTGGGACTACTATGAACTACTTTGATATTTTAGCCACATAGTAACAAAACGATCTGTCAAATGCCTTGGCTTAAAAAAACAAAACAAGAATGACAGCTGTTGCCTGTTGCGTCTCTTCAGCTGTTAGTTGTCTACTTTCTTACCACAATGAATCCTGTGCTGTACATGTGCTCGCTTTTCACAAAATAATGTAATGTGATAATGAATGTTGCTACATAAACATATTAAGTATTTAGTACTTTGTTGAAAGAACTAAAAGCAGAGGCACTGCTTGTTTGTGTGACTGTGGAAAAAAAGAAGAAAAAAACGAGTTGGTTTGAGTCTGGCATAAGTGGAGAGTGAGTCATCAACCGCCTGCTCTTGGGAGAGATGCAGCTCGAGCAACATGGGAATCTGCTGACCTCCCCTCCAGTAAACAGTCTCAAATCTCTCCTTTGTCTCACTCTCTGAGCCTTAGATCTCGTGGTCCTGTTAGCATGAATACTTTTATTGCTGTATGTTTATATTATTGGCTGTAGTTTCTCTGGGCATGAAAAGCAAAGGGGGTTAAGGAGGGGGGGACAATGGCTGCAGTTTTATTTAGTTTGAGGGGCAGCTCCTCCCCCTTCCTGTGAGCTAGACTGTAATGAAATGGAAATGTTGAGAGGGTTGCCTGGCACTGAGCCCGCTCTCTGCAGTACAGACATAATGGCTACAATAATGGGGGTGTGTCTTTTTTATGAAACATGGCAGCCGCAGCAGTGCTACCAACTATCAGCTAGCACCCGCTTTTACCCTAGCATACTCTACCAAGTGTCTATCAGCACAACAGCTGAACAGACAGGCATGTGTTTGCTGTGGGCTTAATAGAGGGGGAAACCCTAGTGTGTCTTTGCATTTGTAGCACTCTGATAAACCAATAAAATGTACCTTATTCAGCCATTCAACCTTCTCAACATCTGGAAAGCTGACCTGAAAGAAAGAAAAACAATGAGAGTACTTACTTAAATTATGCATAGGGCCTGATAAACACACAACAGGATAGGGAAGTGATTCAGAGGTTACTAATGCAGGTCTGGAAATGTCATTAATAGCATTTTTTATATAATTTCAGTGCTTTGTGCACCAGGTTTTTAACTGTTTTCCAATATTTATGAAAGAAAAAGGAAAGGAGATAAGTGCTGCGACTGTCCAGATAATTTAAATGTCATCAATTGTCTCCTCCATTTCTTTATAAATGTTTAAACACGTCATTTGTTTTGCACAACAGAGAGCAATATGGACATGCCCCTTTCTTAATGCTTTAATAAGGAGCCTTCTGCCTGCTTATGCAAGATGAAAATGAAACAAGTACCCATGAACCTCGTTTGGGTGTGGCTAGATCATAAACTGTATATATAAAGGGCTAGATGCTCTGATTAAAAACCAGCCCATGTGGTTTCAGCATTTCCATTTAGGGTAGATTTCCTTAGGATGTATATGTCAAGTATACCTCCTGCACATGTTCCATCTACCTTTTAAGCTGAAATTGCAGTTGCTTAGTTAAAGTCTTGTTATAGTTGTTGGAATGCACAAAAAGGTGTGTTGTTTTGATCCAACAAGTTAGGTTTAGAAAAACAAACACACAGCCATTTTGGTAACTGGCTTAGCAAAAACAATGGGTAAATATAGCACAAAATGACTTCTATACACCTGACTGCATGAATCAATTGCCCATGTTTTATCTGCAACACAAAACAAGTTTTAAAAGGATTATAAAAAGGCACTGACTGACCTAATTGGCTGTGCCTGTATATTATTGTCAATGAGGAAATTATTATTTGGTAAAACCTTTCTAAAAATATAAGGGATACCAGGATCCCATAGGATTATTAACATGACTGGGACTAGCCTACGACATAACAGCTAAGAATAGAGTAAAGCTAATATTTACTGGGATGCAGTCACCCTGTACCTCTGATATTATGATTTGAGGGTCCTCTGCTAAGCGTTGTCTTGCTATACATAACGTGGGGGTTACATAAGGTCAACATAGGTTAAAGAGGTTAAAGTTGTTTTATTGGGGAGGATTTTTTGATGATAAAGTAACACACTGACAGAGGTAGGCTAATTTCTTACCCACGCAGGGAGGTCTCGCTTGTTTTTAGACACTTTCTTGAATGTGTATTCCTCCTCGTTGTTGAGCAGCTGTATGGCTGACTTCAGGCGGTTCTCCTTGGCTTCTCGGGCATGTTTCCATCCCGTGTAGACCATCATCCCGAACACCAAGAGGCTGGTGCTGACACGGTAGTACCCCGCCAGGTAGACGGGCAGCAATGCGCCGAGACATTTTCCAAACGTCCAGAGCACCGCGACTGCGCTGATCCCTTTGGGTTTGGGACCTTCTGCCTCTGCGGGAATCAGGGCTTTCTTCTCGGTGTCCGCTGTGCTCACACACTCGGTGCCCTTCGCTTCACTCGGCGCTGATTTGTCGCTTTCCATTGTTGTATTCGCTAGAAACACTCACTTATGTTACAGTTAGTTAAAATATTCAGTTTAAAAGTGCTCTTTAGGACCAAACGGCTACTTAACTTGTCATATCCAACGCCAGCTAGCTACCGTTTAACAAGAGCACCAGTGCACGTCGCGTGTACCCTCGCTAGTACACCGTTAGTCTGAGGCGCATCTTTAATAGTATTATTTGGTATACTTTTGTGAAGTTTACTGTCTGAGCCATAGACTGGGTCTGAGCACGGGGTCCAGGAGATTAGAAGCACATACATTCTGCCCCCACCCTATCCCGTTAACAGGATAAAAACACGCCCCCAGTCTGAAGCAAAAAACCCATCTTTGACTCTTTCGCTGCTGAGGCAAGACACTAATTCAATTTATAGTAATTATTACCGTTATTACTGCAGCATTGCGTTATCAGAAAGCTAGAGTTTCCATATTATTCAAGGGTTCTTTTAATTTTCTATAGAAATGTAATTTGACCTGCCTGTCGTAGCAAAGCACAGCTGAATATACAAAAAAGTCCACGCTTCCTGTCAGATTGTTAACCCAGCAGCACCTCTTGTCAGTTATTTCTGCTGCTCCAGTTTACTTAAAAACAGCAGACTTGACATTCTTCTCAATCCCTTAAATCCAGTGTGACCACACAAGCCTGGTACAACAGGTACAACAGCAAATATTCCACTTGTTTAAAGAGCCACACGGATATGAGGCTACTGAAGAAGCAGATGGTATTATGTTGAAGTTTACAAAGTGACTCCACCCAAACAACTCAAGCATGTAAACAGCATTTGCCACAAGAAACTGTGTGCTGGCAGGGCCGTCCCTGGCCAACTTGGGGCCCCAAGCGACATTGTGAGATGAGGCCCCCCCCCCCCCCACCGACAGGAGTAAAAACATTTTTTTGGGAAACAAAGTACTTTGCAAATATAATTCCTGTTTATTATTATCAACAGTTAATTTTGTATACAGTGAGGTAAATGGTAAATGTATGTCGTTCAGTATGCGTTTACAGGTGAATACGTCTGCATTTCCTGCCAAATACTAGCCTGAAAAAGATTAAAATAGAATTAATGCAAATAAACTACTTCTACTAATAATAATAATCATAATCAATTCAATAATATAAATACTATATTATTTTATTATAATATAGTTGTAATATAGTCAAGACAAAACATGCTTATTACATGCTCAAAAACTGATATTTCTTAAATCTGTATTCAAATGTAGTTCCCTCTGTCAGCAATGTATCAACAACTACACACACATTTATACCAGTATTTCTCTGTGTTGTGGTTGACATGATGATGACTGTTAGGAGTTAAGGGGAGAGGCTGAGCATCACCATGAAATGTGCAAATTGACATAAAAATGATACGCGGAGAACTGCGCTGAGAGCTGCGCACAAGCCGAGCTCATAAACCGAGGCCCCCTGCGCAATGTGAGGCCCCATGCAGCCTGCATGATCGGCCTGTAGGGAGGGACGGCCCTGGCTGGGCATGACTTATTTATCTTACCTGTGTGAACCGAGCATATCAAAGTAAGGCAGCTGTAAACAAAGTGACAGATAACACAAGATTCATTGTTGATAGGCAGTTATTATTTTCCTTTTTTTTTTTTTAAATGTTGGTTTTCACCAGATACACAAACATATTGTCCTCAAAATGACAGCACAGCAGTATTGAAGAAATGGTAATTGGTACATTTGGTACACAAACTGTTAACAGGTCGATCAGTCTGAAGGAAAATTGTCTTTGTAATGTTGCCATAAAACTGGGTGTCTTTATCCTGCCCTCTGGTGGAGTATTGCAATTGTCAATTATCTGACAATTTTCACTGTTCTGTCTTTAGTTGAGTCTCAGAAAACATTGAAACAATCTTTGTTAAAAATCACAGTTAAGAATGCTACAGTCTGATGTGTGGGTTCTACAGCCCTGCACTTTATCAGTGAGGGAGAGTGGTGATCCTCATGCTTTGACTCACAATAGGGTACGACACCATTGGGGTGGTGGCGTGACTCATGGTGATACCAGGCATCGGCTGCGTCATGGACACTGCCACTGATGCCACAGATACAGTCACCGGGGCCATAGAAACAGATGGCACCATCCCTTGGGCAATGGTCTGTACAAGAGCGGCTGACAGGGGGGTGATCTCAGGGTTGAGGTGAGGCAGAGGGGCTGAAGGTTGGGCGCTAGTAGGGGGCGCTGAAGAGGCGCCGGAAGAAACTACCATATCTAGCTGGGTGACAGGCCGAGGCTGCAGTCCAGCGCTGCTCAGGGTGGTGTGAGTCTGGGCAATGCTATGATTGTAGGAACCTATTGCACCCAAAGGGGGAACCAGACTCTGCTCAGTGGGCACAGGAGTGGAGGACATCGTCATCACCTTGGCCTGGCTGCGGAACTGGGCGTTCTGATCCAGAAGAACCTCATTTGTGGCAATTAGATTTGAAACCTGAGAAACACACAAGACATGGATTAGAAAAAAGTACAAGGCTCCATGAAAGTCCACTGCAAGGAATTCTGGCTTTGCAGCAGAAAAAAGGTTCTTATAAAAGTTTACTTTTGATTAATTATTATAGCTGCTTTAGGTCTAAACATTTTTAGAGAGACATGTTTTCTTTACATTAAGTTTGTCCACCAAGTTTAAAACCCAGTTTTAGAAACTGCTAAAACTCTTACATTGATCAACAGTTAAACATAGAACCCTGAATATCTAACATTTCAGGTGCAATTCAAAAAATTATTAGAACGATTAATCGTTAACCAAAATAGTTTATGTTGACAAACCACTAATGTTTCTTCATATGTTGTTATGACATTAGATAAGATGTCCTGCTTTAGATGACAATGATTTGCTTCCACTACACAGCCTTCACAGTAACGGTACATTGCCTATCATTTGGTAGTGAGATATAAATGAATTCAGTCCTTGTGTGACTCAAAATGACACAAACACTATACAACCTTATTTAATATAGTCCTTTTTACATAACCCTAGTGTATATATTACAATCATTCAGTACATGAAGCAAACAATAAGATGGATCCGATACAATAGCCCACAATAAATTCTACCTCTGTTGAGCTAATAAAATGTGATTATCTGTTACGACTTTGACTTTGTTAACACATTGTATTGCACTGTGTTATACTGTCAAAGGTGGCTGTGTATCTGGTATTGATGGTTTAATAAAAATAAATAATGCTAAATAAATCTATATATATATATATGTGTGAATATTTTCGAAACTGGATTTCTCATAGGTCTATTTTCTTTTGTTTAAGTTCCAAATTGTGTTTCTTTTTATTTGACCACGTGTTATTCTAACCTGCTTCTTCAACTCTTCCACTCTTTTCCTCAGCAGGCAGTTATCTTCCTCCAGGAACCTGAACTCCAGAGGACGGGGTGGCAAGGTGGCATGAAGTCCCAGCTCGTAGTGCACACCTCCAGTCACATCTGCCAGGCGCAGCCCCTCCAACCGTCGCCTCTTCAACTGTAGAGCAGTGTGGTCCATAGAGGCCTCCAGAGAGCTTGCATCAAACAGCCCACTTTCAAGCAGAGGGTCATACACTGAGCTCCTTTCATACCGTCGTTGGCCTGTAGAATTCATGGACAGACAAGTGCTCATCCCACCTACACCTACCCCCCCAACTCCTGTGATACCGGGATCTCTGCAACCGCCCAGGATGGGGCAGCCCATCCCCATCATGTTACTTCCACTTCCACCTCCCACAAGTCCTTGCATTCCTCCACAGGGACCTCCTGCTCCAACACCTATCCCTCCCCCAGCATTCACCATTCCAGTGGGCCCTGGCCCTATCACACCAACCCTTGACGGCTCATATTCAAAGTCTTTTTGGACATGACGAAATTTACACTTATTGCTCCTCTGGCACTCTCCCTTTAGAAAGTCTCTGCAGATAGGGACTTCCCCACGGCTATGGGGGAGATCGATGGGGGACAGGCCTAGTCGTGCTGCAACTTTCCCTCTTAGTCTGAGGGGTAGCTCTCCTGTTTTCTTGTAATAGTCCTCATCCTCTTTAGATCCGTGGACAAAGCGGCAGTTGGAGCGCATACACTCCTTGTTCTGGTGGTCATGACAGAAAATGAATTCATTTTTTTGCACTCCCAAATCTGGAACTTCGTTAAAGTCTGGGTGTCTAAAGCGGCAGCGCTTTCCCCTCTTGCAGACATTGCGTATGAAGTCCCTGCAGACACCTCCTATTGCCAGTCCTGAGCCTTGCCCCCCACCTCCACCATTCCCACAACTGGTACCATTTCCGAGAGCTCCTCCTCCCCCCATGCTCCCAGAGCCGTTGCCACCTCCTCCTGAGCCCCCTCTGCCCTCGGCTGAGCCCCCTGCAGACCCAGGTCCTCCTTCCTCACCCAGACTACCCCCACTCCCACTGCCACCTGACAGGTAGGAGCTGTCCCGATCAGGCATGGCGCTTGGCCCAGCTCAAGGAGAAAACAGCACTCATGTGTGTGAGGGGGGTGGGCGTGACCTGCCAAAGATTAAAAAATACAGGTGAACAATACAGGAATAGTTACATTTGTTTCTTTACAGTATTGCAATTTCCTATTCAATGATCTACAAGACAAATCATATAACCAAAGTTAGATATTATCTTCACAAATATAGAATAATTTAGATGTGTATGACCCTGCTATGTCCATAATTTCATCTGTTATGGTTCGCCTTTATATGGTTAGGGCTGAAATATTAGCACTGGAGAACACCTGGTAAATAATAAATAGCACTGTTGTTGATGTTTGTTGTTGTTGCCACAAGTTTGGCAAAAATAACACAAATGGATTCACATCATGCTCAGCTAAATTGAGGGTAGCTGGCGATGAATAAAGCACACTCTCGTATCATGTACCTGATTAAGATACCTTAACAGTAACCTATATTAAGATCGTATTAGCTAGTGAGCGGTGTCTAGCTAACTGGCTAAGAGCTAATGGTGTCTTACCAAATAGAAACTAGAAGCAGGATCCAGAGAATAGTCAAGGGACTCCCACGCAGAAACGTTCTGCTCCTATCCCCTAAATAATGATACAGTCTAATAATGATACAGCTGTCTCGACTGACAAACTAGCTACTTATTTTTATTATTGGCAATTTCTTCGAGGCCCTTGGTGCTGTTTACCACATTTCTTGATGCATCTCATGCTACCGACGAAGAAGACGAGCCTCTTCTTCTCCGTTTCGTATGAGTGTTGTTCTGCCCTCTAGTGACGATAGTGATCACATGCACTGAAGTATTTTTTTCACTTTGTTTTCCTTTTGACTGAATCTATCAAATCATTACACGGTTTAGGTGTTTTATAGGACACTTAGGCATTCCTCTTGCTAAGCGAAGCAGAGCTAAGTTTAAAAAAAAAACAGCTTTGGAAGAGGCTTTATTTATTTGATACACTTTCACCACCAACCACCGATGTGCCTTATTTTTGGTTGAAATAGGCGGAACAACTTCTCAAAGCTGCAGGTAAACTTTTCTGCGTGCCTCGGGTTGGACAGAGTAGCATCCACGACTGAAAGCTGCTGCTGCTGACGTGTGGACTAGCAGTAGCATATATTATGCATGAAGATGAGCTGTTGAACCGCACGATAGTTGTACTTCCAGGTAACTTGTGTCGTGTGTGTGTTGAAGTTCCTCATTTGTGCTCAGACGCCCAGCATGGCAGTGCAATGTGTTTTCCACTTGATGCAAGCCTTTTTTGTCCTGCTACTCTGCTTATCTGAAGCCTCAGAGTTTAGCAGAAATTACTATGATACTCTCAATGTTGAGACCACAGCCACTGACAGACAGGTAAAGAAGGCTTTCCGCCATCTGGCTGTAAAATACCACCCTGATAAGAACAAGAGCACCGACGCAGAGAAGACTTTCAGAGAGATTGCTGAAGGTAAACAAGCCTGCAACACACTTGGCCTTTTACAATGAAATTTATATTAGATATATATATACAGATGTGGGAAGCAACTAAGTAGATTTACTGAAGTACTGTACTTAAGTACAATTTTGAGGTACTTGTACTTTACTTCAGTATTTCCATGTTATTTTACTTTGTACTTCTACCCCACCATAATTCAACGTGTACTTTTACTCCACTAAATGTATTTAATACCTTTAGTTACTTTCAAAATGTTTGATTAATAATGTGAAATATAAACAACAATTAAATAAGACTTTAGTTACACATGGAGTAAATTCACAAGCTACCCTGCAGTATACAAAGTTATTAAAACTAGCTGCACCTTTACCAGCTTTGATAACACTTAAATGCATCAATAATTATAATCAAAACATATAATATATAATATATAATATTCTGAAATGGACCAATCTGCATAATGAGTACTTTTACTTTTGGTACTTAAAGTTTATTTTGATGCTAATACTTTTCTACTTTTACTTGAGTAACATTTTAAGTTCAAGACTTTTACTTGTAAGACAGTATTTCTTTTCTACACTCTGGTACTTCTACTTTTACTCAAGTACTTCAAGATCTGTACTTCGCCCATCTCTGTATACACTTATTTTACTAATGGCATTGCTTTTCATCACGTTTAAAACAGCTGTAAGATAGTATATATATTAAGTAATTAGTACCTTTTTTTTAAGTAGACTCAGCTAATTCTGCTGCAGTTAATACAACAGCGCTGCAATCAATCCAATCATGGAACAATGATGGTTTAAGAGATTCAACTCAATTCTTATTTTTGACTTTGTTTGTGGTGCTGGTGAAGTGTATTAATATATTGCTGAGCCATATTGTAATGAAATGTCTTTTTATCAGCGTCACATCTACAGTGACAATTAAATTGTATCATCATTTTGTTTTCATTTCTTTAACGTTTTAAAAGAACATTATAACCTTTCTGAAATTATTGCAGGACAGCCTTATCATACTGTATTGTTTTCAGCTAGATAATGCACTCGGAGTATTTCCATAGCTCTTTATCACCCAAAAGAGTGATACCTTTGTTTTCTGTTCCCCTAGCCTACACGGTGCTCTCCAACAAGGAGAAGAGGAGGCTGTATGACCGTGTGGGCCACGAGGCTTTCCTAAAAGAGGAGGCTTCTGTTGACCCTGAGGATGAAGATGAAACAAGCTTCCACTTTAATTTTGAAGACCTCTTCCATGACTTCAATGATAGTCCTTTTGTGGAGGAATCAAACTTCCAATGGAGCTTTCATCAGGATGTGGAGGATGGTCCATATGAACAATACAGTTTTGAAGGGCCTGGCTTCAACTTTTATTTTGGGGATGATGATGATAATGAAGAAGACTTTTACTACTAGATTTCCCATATCTTAATCCTGTATTCTGTATGACTGTTTTAATGTGTTGTCTTTTAGTGATACCAAAGTTTTCTTATTAAATTGTTACAGTACGTCAGTATCTGTGTCCTTTATTCAGTATGTCAAATTTCAGGTAAATAGATTCTAATAGGCGCGTTCACACCAAGTACTTTTCCCACAATAGTTCATGAGAACTCAGTTCATGAGAACTCTTTTAGTTCTCATGAACTAAAGCAGATCGCGTTCACACCAAAATTAGTTCCTGGGGGTGGATTAGGCAAATGAAGCCGCTGACGTCACTTCTTCTTCTGCTTTGGGTTTACTGGCAGGCCGCAAACAACTTCACGGCGAGTACAGTAGGTGGCGGTATGCACTCTCGAGCAGGGACTGAAAACGGCGTAAAAATGGTTCTGATGAACTAATTTAGTTCCTGGTGTGAACGCAAATATATCGTAGTTCTGATTAACTATTGTGGGAAAAGTACTCCGGTGTGAACGCGCTATATGTAGCTGTTTGTTTACGATAAAACTTGTAAGTTGAGTGGTTGTTTACAGGTTTGTTAGGTTGACAGTTGGGAGAACTCATTGGACAGTTGTGCCACTGTTCCTGTGTGGGTGTGTTTAAGGTCCTAAGTTACTGACTAACACACCATTTACTCATATTTTTCCCTGTGCCAGCACTTTAGATCTGGCACTGTTTTACTCCATTTCACACAGGACCAGTGTGCACTTTGACCCAGAGGATATCCTGTGCATTCTCAGCAGTTGGAGCGAGAGCACACTGAAGCCAGCACAAGACAAAAGATCTTTACAACTTAATGCACTTTTATCCAGATATACGGAGAATCAAGCATTCTAAAAACAGATACAACAGACTGGAATAACAAACTTACAAGCTGGAAAATGATGGTAAGAATGCCTGAAAGTTTTCTTTATGTTTTTGACAACCTCTATGTGTCATGTGACTTTTACTGCATGGAAACATTCACATATACAGTGTGGAGTGGACTGAGTGAGGGTTTTTCGCCCTTTATATTTAGCTTGCATACCAATGTAGAATTACTTCCAGCTGTTGTATTAATAGAATTGCTAGCCACATTTATTTAATTACAGGAAGAAGTGAAAGAAGTGACATCTACTCTTAGTGTCGACATTCAAAGCATCAAGGTAACAGAGGTGGTGAAAGACGGGGACACACTTACCTTCCTCATTGAATCTGAAAAGGTGAGAAAAAGATTAATGTACTTGTATGTGCAAGCTTACAATATGACATACATCTTGATTAACAGGGAAATCCAGTTTTGTTCAGACTAAATGTCAGTTGCTTTGGATTAAAGTTTCAGCAAAATGAAACGGTATGTAATTATGGTATTGCAAGAACAGAATGTTACAATCGCATGTTTCCTCTGGTCTGTGCCAGCTGTCTGGGACCGGGGTGTACCATGTGGACCGGACCTACGATGATTTTGAATGGCTGCAGCAGCACCTTTTCTCTCAGGAGGAAGTGTCCGGGATACAGGGAGTCATAGTCAGTACCTTTTACCATCTGTGCAAACTTTTCTGATAATAACAAGCAGATTGCAACTGAAATATCTCCAGTTTGTGCTTTGTCAGTGAAATGACAAAGCAAGATGTGGATTCTGTAGAACTGTTGAAAACTTCCTCTTTAAAGTGTGAGTGTTGCTTCATGTAATCTACAACTACTTACTGTAGCTGAGCCTTTGTTGATAACAACAACTACAAGGGAATGATGCGTTGTATTAACACACTTTTCTTACTGACAACATCACACACTTAAATGTTAACTTTATGTACTCACTGTTAATGATTCCTCCTTTTTATTCCTTAAGCATATTATCCTTTCCTTTGTTATGAGGTAGCTGCTTTTAGGTCTGCCATTCTGTCAGCTGGCCCCAGTACTGTAGAACATTCAGTAAAAACGTTGTTGTCTGACTGGATTTTGTTTGAAGAAAATGCAACAGTACCCTGACGGGACGTTTTCTTTTTGACAATAACTTTGAAAATAAATCTTATTTTGACAAAAACTATGGATATTAATAACATTGTACTTTTTTTGTCTCTTGAAGTTCCCTCCTCTTCCAGTTAAGGCTCAAGTGAATGCATCTGCCAAGGTTATAAAACAGCTTGGTGAGTACAACCTAATTATTTTTCTCAAAAGTAAGACTTCAAATGAAAACAAACCAAATAGATTTCCAGTTTCTGTGTCTTTTCTGTAACACAGTGTTGAGTGTGATGAAAATGTTGATTGTTTTCCTGCAGGTATCCTTGGTTTAGGAGAGTGGCAGGCGTACTGTAAAGCCATGGAGACTTTTGTCCGGCAGATTGCCGCACACAGCATACTCGGCAAAAATAACGCTGTGGAGATCTTCCTGACCAGCTCAGATGTGAGTGGACACAAACAGCAGCCTGTTTTTTGTTGTACCCTTTTATGTTATGTTATAAAAGGGTACAACGTGATCCCCTTTTACGAGAGAGGCAGATAATAAAAGGTTAGACTTTCACCGACAATGTTGCAGAAGAGAGTATAGAGCATGTGATAAATACAGAACCCTTTATATATGGAGGACTGAAGGCTAGTTTCACCAGAACTAGTGTTTTATTTATATGCCGGATGTCAAATAACAAAGCTGTACGTTTCAAACCAGCTCTCCTGTGATATCGAACATACAGCAGTGGTAGTTACCAGCTAACTGTGTAATACTCTGATGCTAAATAAGTTGATATAATCGTTATTGCTTTATCATAGTGTTTGAAAATACATTTTTGTACTTAAAAGAAGGGAGTGCCAGAAGTAAGACGCAGCTATAGGGGAACTTTGTCTCTAGATAAACAAATGGGGGGACACACAATTAAACAGGCTGGTGAAATGTCACAAAATGAGTGCATGAAATGTTGTGGAGGAACCTAAAGAGGGAAGTGAGGTCCTCACAAACTCTGAGTCTGCTTGGTGTGCCTGCAAATGGCATCAAGAGGTTGAAATAATTCATGCCAATAAAGCATATTCGATTGAATTATTTAGATACCACTTTTGTTTAGGAGGGATATTTAAAAAAGAACTCCTCTTATACGACTGTAGACTTTAACAAAGAATTGTTCCTCAGGTGCTGCACGTGACACACCATTTTCATGAGAAACAGGATGATATAAAAATAATAACAATATCAAAGTAAAGAGTGCACAAATTGAAGCAATGTATCACAACTCTGTATCATAAATGTAATGTCATAACAAGTACACACTGAGAAATATTGCCTCTAGACTGTAAAAAAAGTCAGATTTTGTGTCAATTTTAGACGTTTCAGGGTTATACTTGTCTGACTGACTTTCATTGAGTCTGCAATGCTGTGTATCAATCTTAAGAAACATGGGACAAAAATATATTCTGATGTTCTTATAGACTTCCACTCATGTTTGGAAGATTTCATAAAACTTTGTATTCTTTTTAAACAATATTAGTATTAAAATATGTTGTGTTCTTGTGTGTAGCCGCCAGGCAGACAGAGAGTAAGGAAAAACATTTTCAACCGCCTGAGTCAAGCCATGGAAGGGATGAGGAAAGAAGGCTATAAGGTACACAACTGAGACTTATACAATCAGAATATACAGCCTAATCACATGTATTGTAGTTTAAACCCCCATAATATCTATGTCACAGGATGTGGACGAGTTCTTTCAAACTGAACGTGATCATAACCTTGTTTTTACGGGCTGTGCCAAGACTGCAGCCGAGGTGAGCCAGTTCATTTTTTGTTTGTATATGTCCTCCTGCTTTTTTATTTTTTCACACAACCAAACACACTGTGGTTGTTTTTTTACTTTTGTTTTTCTTTCAGAGATTTTTGGATGTGGTGCAAACTGAGCAAAGTAAGACAACTTCATTCAAACTTTGGTTCTCATTATTTGGTGTTATTTAGGATTTATTTGTGCTCAGATGCAACAGCCGAAGTCTAAAGGAGGGTGTGTTGTGTATTAGTGTCCATCCACAAATCAATGCAAAAATAAATGTGTCCCATGTCTGATGTAAGTGTGTGTTACATGTTTTATTTTGTAGAAATAGCAGTTGCATGTGGGCACTTCTCAACTGCTCTGCGTCTCTGTGTGGAACAGGGAGAGGATCCTGACAAACTGGATTTCTCTAAGTGAGACAATAAAAGCTTTGGTAGCTGGCCAAAATCACACACACTTAAAATAAATACCTCTCATTGTGTACAAGTAACAATAAGCTAGTATGAAAAACATTGAACAAAACTCTCATTCTGACAGGGTTTGTGTGAAGCTGTCAGAAGTCTTTGATTCTATACAGGTAAGTTGTTTGGCCTTTTCAACAGGAATATATTTTCATAGCAATGCCCCATTGCTTTTTCAAATTCACTGCTTAAAATGTGCTTCTGTTTGGGCAGAAAAATGTGACAAGTGTCGCTGAGAACAACGTGAGTACTCTTGGGCTGGGCCTGGACCTGGAGTCACGCTACCAGGAGGCAGAAAAGGTGTGTCTTCTAGTTCTAAAGTCGTTTTATATTCATGTTATAAACCTTGAATCATGGCCTTCTATTGAAATATGACATGTCATAATGACACCATTTACTAATATAGTGTGCATGTGATTATAATGTCAAAATCAGGAGATGCTCTACAGGAGGACTTGCAAACTAGTGGAGTTAGAGACCACCAGAAGGAACGCAGAGAAGGCCAAACCTGTAAAGAAGGCTGCTGTGAGTACTTTAACATCAACTGTCTCATCACAACCAAGATAGGTTTTTAAATATTGAAGAAGTTTTGCCTGAATAATGAACAATAAGTCATCTGTGGGAGCTCTCAGATCCGGGTCTTCTCAAAAGGAATGGCAAACAGGAAACCGCTGCTCATGATGGATACGTTATTTGTCATATCAAGAAGAAAAAAAAAAATGTTCACAATAAAACCTTAAGATAATGATATTTATATTACTTACCTTTAGTAAAAAGTGAAATAAAGTCATTTGTTGCCATACCACACTATGCAATAGGCTAGATCAGATATCCATTCTTTCATGTGACCAGCAGGTGTCAGTAGTGCTCTGCTGAGCAGGAAAGCTGATGAGAGGATGTTTAATGCAAGTATAATATCTATGAAGTATGTAATGATAACTGCTCCGCCTGTTCATCAGATGGAGGAGGTGAAGAAAGCAGCAGAGACGGAGTTTGATCACATATCAGGAGTGGCTAAAGAGGAGGTAAAATATCATATTTTAGCAGGATTCTCTTTTCCATCATGTAACATCCTGTTTGTTTTTGATTAACTAACCAAATATATTGACATGCATGTTGTGTGCGTCTCTCAGATTGCACGGCTCCAGGCTGCGCGTGTGAAGATGTTGCAGCAGGCTCTGGTTCAGTGGTGTGAAAAGCAGCTTCTTACCGCCAAAGAAAGTGCTGACCAGTTCAACCAGCACCTGCAGGCCTTTAGAGGGATGGCCTAGTGACCCCACTCATAATGAAGCATCCTCAGTGTGTCTAAACATAGCATCAGACACCCATAACATGTCCTTCACCCTATTGTGCTGTAGTCTAATGCCTGATCAGATTCAATTACATCCAGTGTAAAGAAAGAAATGTAAGTAAAAGAGACAGGGAACGCTTCCTGATAACAGCATCCTTATAATATGTACACACTCACCTTAGTTCTGATTCTCTTCAATCACACTCATAACAATAAAGCCCCAGTGCAAATAATAGTTTTGATTTCCTTGCGGTGGACTCGTTGTCTGATGAGGCTATTGCGTGTGTATTTGTACCATACTATAGTTATACGTTTGTGCTGAGATTGTATTCTGCTGCTCTCCAGCCACCACATAGGCCAGGGTCACACCAAATAAAGTGTGATGAATTGATTCCCAAAGTACCTGCTTGCCTTTGTGTGTGTTTCTTCCTCCTGGATCGTTAATCAGTTGGTTTGACTGCTCCTGCAAGGACATGGCAGCAAGGACAATGTGCTGGCTTTTGGTATGGCTTTCGAAACTATTCTGGCTTTTTAATATATGTTAATCATCTCTACAATCCTTCTGTTTTCCATATGATTGTATAAACCCTGTAGTGAGGGCTGGTGTAAAACCTAGGACGTACCTAACCGAAACCTCTGCTCACGAGCACAATGTCATCCTTTCCTTCTCTGTCTGCTGCGGACTGCAGGTCCATATCTCAGCACTGCTGTGTGCTGCAGCTCATCTTTTCCGGCCTGTAATCTCTCTGTCGGGTGAATAAGGAGGAGTGGTTCCCATTGGAGGAAATGAGTCAGAGAGAGATAGATGAGTGGTCTCATATGAAGAGAGGGTGGAGAGGAGGTTTGGCTTATTTGACAATGAAGGAGTAGATAAAGGGCAATCATGCTGTGGAGTGCACACTCAAACAGAATGAATACATTAATAGACTCATTTGGCATAGTCTTGAATCAAATGAAAGGCTGTCTAACCTCGGCTTTGGTTGGCACATGCTGTCCGTCCCTGAGATACATATTTGCTTGATCGTCTCGTAACCTCATGTTTATATATCTGCATCTCCACCTACATAACTTCTGCTCTTCCTCAGCCTATTTCTCAGCCTCAGATGTTTTTCCTTTAGTATTTTACCAATTGAATTAAGGTAGAGAATTGAGTTATGAACCAAAGTATCTGACAAATTGAAATGTAGAGCTGCTGGTGGCACTAGAGGACAATCTGAATCTGAGGTTCACCTGGCCACCATGTAAATCTCTTCTAAACCACTTATAGCATCCAGAATTTGTCATTGACAGTATTTGACATTTCAATAAAAGCAAAAAATGTCAACCTGCTGGTGGTTCTTAAGAAAAAAGTCAGGGGAGCCATCCATATCACTCAAAGCCACAAATATTAACCTCATTGCGGCACTAGAGGGAGTGTAAGGTTACCACCTAAATCTTTAAGATTCATCCTCAGGAAACAATATTTCAGTCTGGATTAAAGTGTGTAAATGTGCCAACGAATAAAACATTTGCACAAAAAAGCAATGGTCCCCAACCGTGCATGTTAATACTGCGACCTTGACCTGCTTAATACAGCTTACAACAAAGCAAAGACAGCTGTTGTAGGAACATACTCTGTTTTAATACAAATTGTACAACAGCAGATCAGTCTTCTTTACCCTCTACAATTGTATCGTGTGCATATCAACCTATTTGAAAAGCACACTTAATTTTTAGATCAGATCACCTTCTAGTTACTGAAACGCCAGTCAAGCTTTTTATACCCGATTTTATGTTCTTGGGGTTGTTACAAAAAGACATTCACTCTCCTTATAGTACACACATGTATTGATCATTAATCCAGCAATTTCACCATTTAGGTTTTGCCCATAATTGGTTTATTGGCTTTAATGAGGCCCATTAAAGTTTAAATGTAAGATGTTTATGGACCATTTTTATCATTCTGTGGCTTTATTTCTTTATCTGATAGCTTTAGAAACAGGATGATATAGTGAATACAAGCCTGTGAGATTTGTGGGATGACGAACAAAAAGCATTATGCTGTACTTACAGTGAGTAACACATATGGAAAACAATGTATCTTTGACAGGATTCTATATTTTGCAACACTATTCTTTCTTTGTTAATATCTAAAGATGTGATGCTTCCATCCCTGCTGCTTGTAACTGCACTATTCCAAATGAGTTTCACTACAGGGGAGCCTCATGTCTGGTGCTTTCATTTTGGGTGGGAGCAGCTAACAAGCGCACAGTCGAGGGGAACGAACACACACACACACACACACACACACACACACACACACACACACACACACACACACACACACAGTTGCCATGATCTCTCCGCCCTATGATCATGGGTCATGCTCTCAGCAGCAGTTGAGAAGGGCTTGTGTGTCTGTCTGTCCGTATCCACCCACCAACCCACCATTGAGGTAACCGATGTCCGGACCTCTGTAATTTTTTCGAGGTGTATATAATAAAAGTCGTGAAATAACTGCACATAATTAACAGGGTTCTTTGTAGTACTTCCATTTACTGGCGGTGGGGGCGCTGCAGGAAGTGGCAGATTTTTTCCGGCTGTGTATTTTCTAATTCTAGCGCACTCGAGCTGGTTTCTCCAAAATTACCTACCCCACCTTTAAGTTAAAGAGATAACATTGTATTGTTTTATTTTTTCACAGATATAATGAAAATGCTATCAGTCCAAGCTCAGCTTTGGTAAGGGAGATACAGGACAGGCAGAGAGAAAGTGATGGAAGTCAGAGAGGAACTGCCAAGCCCCCAGGAAGTGCGCCGGACTCTGAGGGTGTTTCTCAATCTCGAGTAAAGCTGCTCCAGAGCCACTATTTCAAGCATACTACGTCATCGAGTGCCGCCGAAGTACTGTTCCAATCTCCAGCATACTTTGAATTCTACCGAGCCCGGCGTACTTCGTTTGGAGAAATTTCGAGGCTGCACATGTAGACTCCGTGGTCTTAAAATCCCCACAATGCTTTGCACACGGACCAATTTCCCCAAATCTGTGGCGGAAAATGTAAGGCGGGGCCTCTCATATGATGCACACCTGCACACTTGCTCGCCTGTTCCATTCTTCGTTTTCCGAGGCTAGGAAGTATTCTTGCCTCGCTTCTGAAGTAAGACACTCGGAAGACATGTGCTACCAAGCAAGTGTACTCGAGATTGAGAAACACCCCGTGGAAAAAATTAGCTATAAAATAGTTCATACTGGGTAGTTTATTTAGTTTAAAAAAAATGATCTGCTGATTTACAGACGTCTTTTTCCCCATGTTAATTCGGAAATGGTAGTACTAGTACCGCCGTTTGGCCACAACATATTTTTTCCTCAGAGTCCGGAGAACTTCCTGGAGGCTTGGCGCCAATGAGCAGCTCTCATAGGAAAGAACGAGACCCCGCCTCCGACGCTGTATCCAGTTCTTATTATACTACATGGGAACTGCAGGTACAGCCTTCTGAGCCCAGGGTTGCATTTACATTCTGTTCATGTGCTGTTGTTCAACACAAACTATGTAGGCTTAATAACCCCATCTATCTATCTATATATATATATCTATATCTATATATCTATCTATCTATCTATCTCAGCGACGTGCAGTCAGGAGAGGCAGGGGAGGCAGAGCCTCACCTGTCATACTCCAATGTAACGGAAAAACAACTAAAGAAAAACTAAATAGTAATAATAATAAAATGTCTCCACTGATCTGTGTTGTAAGTGTGATTTATGTATGATTCCAATCGCTTTTTATAGTCAAAATCAGCAAATTTGCCGAGCTCCGCTACGGGAGCGATGACAAGTGAGGCAGGGACGTGCTCTGCCTCTCGTAAGCCCACAGTAACTTGCTGGAGCACGGGCACTAATTTAGCGCGGGCACTTATTTTGTGAGCGCGCTCAAGCCAGTTACTGTGGGGTGAGGTGAGGCACAGATGAGCTCTGCCTCACCTCAGAATGCGTCACCCCACAGAAACTGTCTGGAAAGCGGGCCCTAAGCGCATGCCTGTTCCCATCTCACTGTAGGTCACCAATGTAATGTTTGTAGATCCCTTTATTACATTTATCCTCGCCATCCATAGTCTCTAAATAACTTATTTCACGTATATATGATATTTAGGCTCGCTGGTCTCATCATACATCGGCAATGAAAAAAGTACCAGGGGAGGCAGCCATAACCTCTGCCGCACTGAAGGGGGCGCACGTGAGCCCACAGGTTCTTGTTGCTACTGTTATTCTACACAGAGACGGTAGAGCAAACAACAAACTAGACTTTTGAAACTAGAGAGATAAGGAGGACTTTTACAAAAAAGTAATAGAGATTGTTGTCCAGAAGGATAGCATGGACTTCATCTTCAAGTCAAGGTAAGACCACAATTGTAATGAAACTGGGATCTTACTAAGAAAGAACAATCCAATATTTAGATTTTGGGTATCCTTTTGTTGAATGGTCTGTTTAAAATGAATCGAAGCATCAGACTAAAAAAGCTTTTGAAAATAACCGAATATTTCGATTAAGGTCAAAATATAATATTTGTAAATCTGACTCAGTGAGTCAGTGCCTCACCAGCCATGAACCTCACCGCACGTCACTGATCTATCTATCTATCTATCTATCTATCTATCTATCTATCTATCTATCTATCTGCAAAGGGAGATGAACTAAATTACTGAATTATTTTTAATACACTGGCAGGAGCGACAAGTGACGAGGAGCATACAGTTAACAATAAGGGATGAGTAGAGGACAGAGAGAGTAATGAACAGAAAGAAGACAGAGAGATTCATTTTCCAAAGTTTTGTGAGCATTTTAGCCTCTTCTGCATGTCCAGATTATAATGTGGATCATTATTGGTAACAATCAATAACTGATTCTCATGCATTACACTTTCAAATATCATTTAAGCTGCAGCCCACTGACATGGTTTGAAATCAATATATTATCCAATTTGTGCCCCCCCCCCCACAGGACTTAAAAACAGATATCTAGATCTAGACCATGAAAATCAAAAAAAGGGGGCCTGTCCCCGAGCCCCTCTAGCATGTTTTGGACCTCGGTATTTCCGAAATCCTGGATACGGGCCTGTGTGGGGGGGGGGGAGTGTGTGTGTGTGTAAGAGAGAGAGAGAGCGCATCCCATTGACAACATGCTCTCAGAGCTGATTTGCTAAAGTAGCCCATTACTGGTGGAAAAGCAGCACTCAGCACACCGCCCTATGGCCTGCAGAGACCAGCATGTCAAGAGTAAAGTAAGGCAATAGCTTGTCTGAATACACAGTGTGACGAAGACCTTATGACTCTCCAGTTAAATGAGTACAATGGCCTGTGATATGATTTAAAAATATACTCATTCTTTGGTGTCTTGAGACATAAATCTGCAATGGGTGATTTAT